GTGGCTTTAATTTGCTGACTCATTTATCTGAAGTATCTTTGCCGCCTTTCAGGCAAAAATGCTCCTGAAGCAGGTTATGTACAATCAGTTAAGCAAAACAATCCATGCATGCAAGCTTCTAATTTAAAAAGACTGATAGACAAGGGAGAAAGAAGGGGGAGGGAAGAAGGGGGAAAACAAATTATTTTAGAAGTGCTGGTGGGTAGGCCCTGCTACTCTCAACTCTGATTGCCAGAATGGCTTCTGGCAGTAACAGTTTGTTTGTTTATCAGATTTGTCCGCTACCTTTTTTCTTTTTTACAGAACACAAAGCAGATTATACCATTTTTCCTCCTCCTCCTCCTCCTCCTCCTCCTCCTCCTCCTCCTCCTCCTCCTCCCAATCTTATCCCCACAAAAACAACAACCCTGTGAGCTAGGCTTGGCTGAGAGTCTGTGACTGGCTCAAATTCACCCTTTTGGATCCTTGGCTGAACAGGGACTAGAACCCAGATTGCCTGAGTCCCAGTCCTGCATTCTTAACCACTACAGCACACTGGTTGATGGAGGATGAGAGAATTCTTCAGCAGGATTGGTGTGATGGCCGTATTCTCCCCCACCTCAGCCGGCTGGACTTATGTAATTAATATTACATAAGTGTTGCATTGAAAGCAATCTTCTAGAGTTAGATATATACATTTTTAGAAGAGATCAAAATTCAGCTTAGCAATCCAATGAATACTGTAATGGGATGGTAGCAAAAACTCTAGGTAAGCAGGATCAGGGGATAATTTTCCTGTGTCTGAGATGTTCACAGTTTGGACTCACGTCTTGATTCAATTAGACTACTGTTATACAGGAGTAAATCCAGAATGGCAACAACCAGGAGTAATCTTCACTCCTCCTTGTCCTCCCCTGAACTACAGATCTGTTTTCCTGAAAATTGACCTGGATTGGCCCCAGATGGAAAGGGTTACAAATTGAAAGTCTCATGATATAATCATTGTATCAGCTTTCAAAAGTGTTCTTTGTTAGTGCCATTATAAGGTCTTTTGTTGTTCAAATGAGAAGTATTCACCCTTGTACTCTGGGACTGGACTGTCTCAACTGAGTGTAACAAATCCAGCTATAGTAGAATTATCTAACTAATATTTAATCCAGGTTTCATACAGATGATGTCCTTTGTTATGAGCATAACTTTCCAAACTTTGCAAATCTGCCCTATATTTATTACACAATTGCATTCCCTCAAGAAGGAGGTCAGCATAGGGTACATAGTTCCCCTCCTCCATGACTTTTGTGATAGGATGGTATAAAAAAGCAATAAATAAATAAATGGGAGATCTCCAAAGAGAAGAGAGGGTTAGGTTTTGGGATAGGATGGTTTAGCCCAAACCTGACTTCGTGTTTCCATTCCCCTCTCCTTTGAAGGATTATCAAGTAAGCTGAAGGTTTGGCAAGTAAGTGGAAGTTGATGAAGTTGAATGTATAGAACACTTTAGAAAGGGCAAGTGATGACCTTCTGATCCAGCAAAATGGGGGTGAACTGTTTCCTCAATACATGCGATTTTTATGGGGGATGGAGTGGGGGGAGAAAAAGAAGGGCCCAATCAGATAAGATTTTTCCTGTCTCCAGTTGTTACACATACTTGAATTCCTAGAGATACGGAAGGGCAATGTCTGCTGGAGAAGCCTCTTGCATCTGCCCTTCCTGGATTGGGAGTAATTTTATATCAGCTCTATCAAAAACCACGCATAAGCATACAGCAGAAAAGAAGCTACAGAAGTTTTTCTGACTTCTGTCTGCTCACTAAAGTAGAGTAGTTCACATTTTTTTATAGTTCTGTCATGCTTTAAAAGTTGTCTAGTGTGTGTTTAGTTCTCCCCCTTGATGAAAGGATGTTGAACGATGTTTGTGTATAAGGATCTGTGATTACAGAGCAAAACACAGACAACTTGAGAAGCTTCTGGATTTTATCTAACTTGCTGTTTCGTGTTGTTTATAGTTAGCTAAACAAAAGGATGTGCCCAAAACAGAAAATGCATGTGCTCGCTGAAATGTTTAGTATCAAGGAATCCCAAACAAGCTGTGAAAAGGGAAAAACAAAGCTGTTAAATTGGGGGCCCCTCTGATGTGTGAAGTACATGTAAGTTAAATAAATGAAACAAGCTAATGCAGCAGTTCTGTGTGGAAAAGATATTCTAACAAATCTATCAGAAATTGTCTTAGAGAGGTGTAAAGAGCTTTTTAGTTTGGTTTCAAGGAACTTTTGAAGTTAAATGCTATAGTAAGATCCCTGTTTCTCTCATAAATAATACATGAATATTTGCTTAGGCTGGCTTCTAATTAATAGCAGGTTCTCATTTAATGTAACTGGCCTCAGAAATGTAATGTGGCAGAAAAGGAACCAAGACTGAATGGCTCAAGTAAAGTTCCTATTAAGATTCTGCTTAAACTAGCTGTATAGTCTGAACAGATATTCTAGACCTGTTGCTCATGTGTCTCCTGCATCTTTGGCAGCACATCTCTGTCCATCAGGATGTTTTTATGGATTCCTAAACCCCATTAGGAAAATCCCTTTATTAGGCCGACTCAATGTCACAAAAATGGGCATCGTTTCAGAGTCTCATCTGCATGGTCAGAAACTTAAGGTAATGTGGGAGAGGGACGCTGACCATAGAATTAAGCAGTAGCAGGTAGTGAGATCATTTCAAGTGACAGCTGGGCCCATCACTAGGACTGTTGGGATAAAGCACCATCCAATAGTTGGTTTTTCCCTCCATTTTGTGCAGGCTTCTGAGGTTTCCTGCAGAAAACATAAGGACCTCATAAAATTCACCTTCTCTAACTAGAGGAAGGTAACTAGTGGGGTACCACAGGGTTCCATCCTAGGCCCACCACTCTTCAAAATCTTTATTCATGATCTAGATGAGAAAGTACAAGGAACAATAGTCAAAGTGTAGCAGATGATACAAAACTGGGTGGAATAGCTAACACCATGGAAGGCAGAGAGAAGATCCAGGGTGATCTAGATAAGCTTGAATGCTGGGTTGAAAGCAACAGAATGAGATTCAATAGGGACAAATACCAAGTCCTACACCTAGGAAAAAGAAACCAGACACATTGATATAAGATGGAGAGTATGTGACTCAACAGTACTGGAAATGATAAAGACCTTGGAGTTATTGTGGACTGCAGACTAAATATGAGTCAACATTGTGATGTAGCCATAAAATGGGCAAATGCTATTTTGGGATGCATTACTAGAAGAATCACATCCAGTTCATGAGAAGTTCCCCTATACTCTACACTAGTCTGACCTCATCTAGAATACTGTGTCCTGTTCTGGGCCCCACAATTTCAGTAAGGTGCAGCAAAATGGGAAAGAATTCGGAGAAGGGTAACAAAAATGATGCAGGATTTGGACACAAAGCCCTATGAGGAAAGACTGAGAGAACTGGGCATGTTCCGCCTTGAGAATACTGAGAGTAGAGATGATGGCACTCTGCAGGATAGGAAGGAGGACAGGATCTCCTCTTGCTCATCCCAGAGTGTAGTACAAGAAATAATCAAGTCAAGTTGCAACAAACCAGATTCAGGTTAGATATCAGGAAAAGTTTCCTAACTGTTTGAGCAATACGGCAGTGGAACCAGTTGCCTAGAGAGGTCATGGGCTCTCCCACACTAGAGACATTCAAGATCTAACTGGACAGTCATCTTAGAGGGATGGTTTAACTTGGGGTCCTGCACTGAGTGGGTGGTTGGATCTGATGGCCTACTCGGCCCCTTCTGACTCTGTTATTCTATGATTTCAATAGATGGTATTATATTCAAATATTTGCTTTCATATAAAATGTTTCTACACCTTTGATTGTCAATAAGAATATGCCTGCAGAAAAGAGAGGGTATTTTTTACCTTCTAAAACTTTGTCAAAAACATTTCAACCCAGTAGTGCTCTTGTTCTTCTGCCTGTCATTTCATGTAATTTGTTCCTGAGAAAAGGCAAAGCAATCTGTTGCTTACTGTATTTGGACAGATGTAAAACTATTATACTATAGGTAAAACTGAATATACATACCTGCTATACATAAATACATTCTAACTCAGGGTGGGCAACTTGTGGTTTGGTCTACAACACCCATCAGCCCTAGTTTTCTCATCCAATGGGGAGGGAACATGAGACTTGTCAGACAAAACTTCTGGAGAGCCACAATTTGCTTACCCCATTCTAACTGATAAAGAACAGTTCAACATGACATTTGTGAATTTTAATCCCGAGTGACACCCACCTGGCATTTTTGCCATGTCCCTTTCAGTGGGCAAGGTGTGGTGCTACAGTGTGGATTTGGACTTTCTGTAAGCTATATTGTCATGGAGATGTTCCTTTATTTTTTCACTGTAGAGTATTGCTATTAGTGTCTGTGTGGGCAGGAGGGGGTGGTACCGGCTTTTGCACTCTCTCTTTAATCAAAGAGCAAAATTAAAATGTTGCAACAAGAAATGTTGCTGTATAGTGTTCTGGCAGACATCAGAAGACATCAGAGGGAAGAACTTCCTTCACATACCTTATTCTCAAACTATGGAATTTACTACCACAAAATGGAGTAGTGATGGCCACCAACTTGGAAGGCTCTTAAACAGAATTAGATAAATCAATGGAGAAAAATTCGGTTAATGACTACTGGCCATGATGGCTATGTGCCAGCTCATGGATTAGAGGCACCTGTCTTTTGAGTACCTCATGCTGGGGAACATGAGTAGGAAGATGCTGTTGCATTTGTTTCCTGGTATGGCTTTTCATAAGCAGCTGGCTGGCTATTTGGGAGATAGAATGCTGGCCTAGAAAGGTTATTAGTGCGATTGAGCAGAGCTTTTCTAATTTTTTGAGTTTGTCATTAGGCCCTTTCTACTAGTGCTGAAGTCTGATGTTCTAGTTCTAGAATTTGCATGATGAACAATTCCATGCGGTAAGATCTTCCATGCAGTAAAATCTCCTTTCATTTCTCACTCTCTTCTTTAGGCGTCTTGGTGCTGAGCTTGGAAAATCTGTTGTGTATCAAGAAACCAATGGAGGTAAGTCAGGATTTATTTTAAAACTTTAATCTTTATTTTGTTCAGAAGCATCTGTAGGCTTATATTTAGAAAATGGTCTTGGAAAAATCTAACAATAACATTGTAAAATCATAATTTAAAAAGCAAGTAATACAAATCACAATAAAAGCAATTAAATACAAGCCAACATAAAACCACATCATCCAAGTATTATAGGGTATGTAAAGTGATCTGGCTGTGCTGCATTTACACATTCGGAAAGGAAAGTTTTGACTATAAACCAACCTAGCTTGCAAGAACAGATATCAGAAAAGCAGCTTATAAGGAAACCTACCAGCTTCTGAAGTTTCAAGACTGTGTCTCTTATCTGTGTGAGGCAGGTAGGCCTGAGCTGGGGATTGGCACGTGCAGGCAGATGGAACAGGAAGGAGCAGCTTGGCATTCGGTGGGGTGGAGCTGTGAGAAGGCCTGGTGGAATTGGCTTGGCATGGTGGATGGGACTAGTAGCATGCCTAACTGTTTGAAGCCAAGTGCCACCATCAGCTGAACTCACTGCATCTGAGCTGTATGTTCTCTCTACCAGTCAAAGCCCAAATATGGGCCTCTCTCTTCCTCCTTTATCCCTCTGCCTCTGGATAAATTTGAATTCCAAATTTCTTTACTGAAAATTGAACTCTGCTGTGCTAAATTTTAACATAGCATACTCTATCCTTGGATTAGAAAGTCTACCTGGATCTAAGGTGATTTATTCCTAATATTTATTATATTGATATCCTGGCCTGTTTCTTGTAAGTAACCCAAGGTGGCTTACATAATTCTCCTCCTCTCCATTTTATTCTCACAACAACCTTTTGAGGTAGGTTAGGCTGAGAGTCAGTAACTGTTTTCTGGTCAAGCGGGGGCTAGAACTTGGATTTCCCAAGTCCCAAGCCAACTTATCAAATATCCACTTAGGAATCATGTGTGATAGTTTAATTGTGAAACATTCCACTCCCAAGTGCTGCTTATTGGAAGTGCAGACCCCATTAGACTGCCTTTCAAAGGACCTGTTTAAATAACTGTGCTTCCTCTACAGAAACAAGGGTTGAAATCAAGGAATCGGTCCGAGGCCAGGATGTGTTCATTATTCAGACCATCCCCAGGTAAGTTCCTTTTGCAGATTGACTTTAAATTGTGAAAGTTAAACCCCCAGAGTCTTGGATATATATCATCTCTTGTTGAGTGAATTTGCTCTGGAGTCTCTTCTGTCCATTGACAAGGAGCAGTGCAAGTCTGCTAGCCCTGCTGCCAGTTTTTCTTTCCTTATTTGTGGTGTTAATAAGGCCAGTTAATCTCTTGCATTAACAGTGGGGTCTTTAAAGCAGGCAGCTTAATGTGGCACTGAAAGTGACAGTAAGTGAAACCTGATAAGATTCCCAGTCTGCAAAGCTCTCTTGAAGACTCTCTTCCTTAATTGCTCTCTCATTTCCCTGCTCTTTTAGGATTATTTTTTGAGGATTGATGCTCTTTTTATCAGGGCCTGCTTATAGCAGAACTAATACATGTTTCCACCTGTCAACAGTAAAGCAACTGCTTTTTTCACCATTGGTGCAGTTTTGTTGCACAGGGGTTTTCTGTGTTCCTGATGCTGTGCTTCAGCTCAAAAAGAGCTACCATGTCTCCTCAGGCTTTGTTTTCCCATGGTGGAATATGACAGCTGTCCTGGGTCGGCATATTCGTTAAACCGCTGTGCATTCTGCTCATGGGCGGTGCATGGGTGCTGCTTGGCCTGGGCTTGGAGACTTGGAATCTCTCCACAGCCTGGAGGGATACTTAAAGCAGCCTAGCAAATACGTTGGCAAGCTCATCCAGCACACCCCACCCCCGTGTTTTGTGGGATGCTTGCCTACACATACCTTGTGTTAAATTAAAGAGAAAATTAAAGAGAAAATGAACCCACCTCTTTCCTAGCCAACTTCTCTGCCTGATTGTCTGAAGGCAATACTGACTGCCTCCGATAAACAAACAGCTTGCTGTTTCCATGGCTGGTCTGGTCGTTGTTGGAAGAATATATATTGCAGAATATATGGGTATTGAGTGAAAATAATCATCTGCTACACGTACGCATGATGAAACATACGAAGAAGGTTGCCATATGTCCCAGGGGGGCAAATTCGACGTGGGGGAACAGTTCAGGGACCAACTTCCATACCCCCCCCCCCCGCTTCCAAGAGTTATATTCCTGTCCCTACTTTGGCTGCAGCAAAAGCAATCACCTGTTTGGCAATGAATTTCACCAGCAGAATCCTATGGAGACTGAAAATAGATAAATGTAGTTTGTTTTCAAGATAAAATTGTTACTGTATGGCAACTCATGCATAAGATGAGATTGATATGAGGTTTTTCTGGTGTTTGTCATATGTTGGGAATATAAGATGACCTCTGATTTTTGCTTCACTATTTCCAGTTTCAAGGGTCCTCTTTTACGCTGGAATATATGGGTACATTTCTAAGAAAAAAACCTGTGATTATCTCTACAGTCCTCAGGCCCACTGAGAGACAAAACACATGAGTGAGGCCAGCTAGTGCCGAGACAAAGAGCATGGTGTTCCCCAGAGTCTCTAGAAATATTCATCGTTTTTTTCTAAAGATACTTGCAGTTTTTCCAGTTTCGCAGGGGTCCTGCAGTTTCAGGCATCCACTGGGGGCTTAGAACCTTTCCTTCATGGATACAGGAGTCCTACTGTACAATGAAAATTTTTCACCTGGCATATAAGATGACCTCCCCACCTCCATATTTGCATTGCTATTTCTAATTTCAAGAGTCATCTTATACACCACTATATACATTAATTGTAATTCTATTTAATGGTCTGCCATTAAAATTTGACAGCAAATTTTGCCAATGTGTGGCAGAATTTCCCACCAGAGGCCTTCAGACCCTATGGGGCCCACATGTCAGGGTTGCCCACCTGTGTTATATACCCTCCCCTTCTCATTCCTTCTCCTGCTTTTAGCATTTAGGACAGAATGACTGACTGAGACATGCTGAGAGCTGTAGGACTTTCTTTTAACCATCTAAATGTGCATAGCCTTAATGTGCCTTGATAACTTTAATTAGGACCTATTTAATTGACAAATAAATGTACATGAAGACAGTGTTCATACTTGGTTGAAAAGTATAAAACAGAAACATGTGAAATGGGTGTTCCTGAAATGCACAGTCCTGACAATCAAGAGTTGTCCTTCTGTAGCCTCTGCCACCTTAAACCTCAGAGGGGGAAAATGGTGCTTTGTTAACTTTTTATCTTAATTGATTGGAGGTGGGGGAGTTATATAATTCTTGGCTGCTTCCTTCATTGTGAACAAAGCTTTCCTGTGTGTAAAACAGCATGCCACCACAGTATGATAGAAGCAAAAGATAGAATAAACCAATTTGGAGAACTTTGGCAACTGTCACCAGATAAATATGGCTCTATTTTGCAAGGGAAATTTACAAAGAAGAATTAGGAGAAGCTGGCTTAAACAGGAGCTGAATCTGGCAAATCTTGAAGGGCTAGACTATTCTGAAGGATGTCATCCCAGGTGATTAGGGAATATTGTGGTCCCAGGGGTCCCCTGCAAATAAAACAGTGGTAGGTTGATAAAACAACAAGTTTGAAAGTGCCCTCAGCAAGTATAGACTAACGGTGGGACACATGGAGGCCCTTTTACCTCATTCAGTTCGGCTGGCTACTCACAAAAGATCACTGCCATCCTTTTCCCCACCCTGTCTTTGGAACTTGTTAGTCAGCTGTAGTGTCCGGCAGAGCTTATCTGTAGAACTAATAAACTTGCGTTCTGAAAAAATAGGAGAGGATCATAGTCTGCTAGTTCATGTCCATTCAATAGAAGATGATGACTGTTATGAATTTTAACACTGCAGAAAGCTAGCTAATGTACCTTCTAAAGTACATGGATCTCTGGCAGGGCTAGCTAATGTGGTGTCACTGTGTCCATAGCCCCCAGGTTGAGGTGCCTGCCATGCTATTTTCCTGCCTCTTCAAGTGAATGAAGCAATTTCTCCATTCACTTTTAGGGGAGAGAGGGGTGTTCTCCTTGGCAAAACACTAGCTGGAAGGAGTATGAAGTCCTCCTTCCACCACGGTCTCCCAGGGCAACATGGCCCTACAGCCATTTTTTGGCAGTGGGGCTTTTCCCTCCCCTAGTCTAGCCAATGGAACAATTTCTCCATAAGCTTAAACAGGGAGGGAGAAGTCCTCCCTGCTGAAAACTGGCATGAAGGTTACATAGTCTGCCCCTCACCCCTGTCCCCACCTCCTGGAGAAGCAATTTTTGATTTTCAGCAAGGCAGATTTCTTGCCACCATTCACTTCCATGGCGGTGGGCAGAAGAAGTGGGGTAAAAGAGTGGGGGCCAAAGAGAGGAACCGGTAGGTCTATGTTTCTCCCAAAAGACTCTAAAATATGAACATGCCTTTAATCTTGATCAGTTCAATTATCGTTATTTGTTTTAGTGCATATCTGATCCACTCTCTAAGAAAAGGTCTCTGGCAGTTTAGAACCAATGAAAGGCCATTAGACTAGGACTAGAAATAATCATGGTAGATGTTAGTTATGTGTAATTTTAGGTGTAAGCCTGAAGCAGTTAAAGTGCTGTGAAGGCAAAGCCTCCTTATCTTAAGGGGGCAATGCGGGGGCGAGGATGTGTCTGTCATGGGTGGGAGCATTTCTTTTTTGGGGAGTAGCTAAATTGTATTCAGGTTGGTGGGTGTGGGCTCAACAGGTGATTAAATGTATTCCTTGGTTGTCTCATGTACATGAAGAAAAGTCACTCTAGGTATGTTGTGAGAGAGCTCAAGTCCTCCTTCCTATTAGAAATTCTCTTATCTCCTAAGTACGCTTCTAATATGATTGAGTCAGTTGAAATAAGAGGGATTGCAATCATTTTCCTCAGAGCAATATATCCAGCAGATTAAGCACAAGTGGTTTCCAGATTTAATTATCAGGGAACCTTTTGCATATTTCCAGAGAACCCTTGTGCATTAGAAACTGTGCATCTCAGAGGACTGGGAAGTGTTCTGTCATTTGCTCTCGGTCTAAGCGAAGCACTGGCCCAGCAAATGAAAAGTATGTGTGTCCCAGAGGTGCATCGCAAACTCTCCTCTGGCTAAGCACGTAGACTTCTGGTAATAGTGTACTGTTTTTCTAGGCAGCTTCTTCACCATTATCGGTTTTGGCATTCATGAACCTCTGTCGAGTTTCTGCAAAGCCTCAGGGTTCCTGCAAATACAATGGTGAAGAAGCTTTTAGCAACCAGCTAGGTTAGGCCAAAAGCTTGAACATGTTTCCCATATAGTCCCTAAGAAATGAAATAAAATCATTTTTAAAAAAACTGGTTATGGCACTTGTTGGAAGAAACTGTTACTAAATCTTTACTGGCAGATGGAGGACTCATTTCTATTTGTCGCCATTTCAGAGATGTGAATACCGCAGTGATGGAACTGCTGATTATGGCTTATGCACTGAAGACGTCCTGCGCCAAAAACATCACTGGGGTAATTCCCTACTTCCCCTACAGCAAGCAAAGCAAAATGAGGAAGAGAGGTTCAATAGTCTGTAAACTTCTTGCTTCTATGTTGGCCAAAGCAGGTGAGTGGGCTAGTTAGAGGCAACAAGATTTTAGCAGCCACCATTGTGCTTGGCAATAAGTGATCAGGCCTGGAAGAAGCAAGCTGCAAGTGTGCCAGCCTTTGCAGTGATCTCTCTTCCCCGTAGAAGTATAAATTTCCCTTTGTAGAAAGAAGCATCAATCCCATTGATAAAGCAAGCAGAATATATGGTCAAGCACATGCACTGTTGCTAGCAAAAATTGGGAAAGCTTTATCTTCTTTCTGTACCACCCAATAACTAAGTAAGCTCTCCGGGAGATTTATAATATTCATAAAATATGTATAACAATAACGTATTATAACATTTCACTACAAAAAAATTACAAAAAGAATTTAAACTACTTAAATAGTTTAAGGCAAGTTACTAGGATTAGGCATGTTAAAAACAGCTGACATAACCACCCCCATGTACTTTTTGGAGCTGTTAAATATCTTGCCAGGCATAACCTGGTGTCTAAGAATAGTAAAGTTGGTACCAGGTAGGCCTTGGTGAGGAGATTGTTCCGTAGGTGGGGAGCTACAACACAGAAAGCTCTTTCTGTCTTTGCTACCAACTGAGACTCCTTTGGTTGGCAGCAACAAGAAAGTGGGTAGTGTCTCTCCTTAAAGTGGTAGATTACTTTTGTGCAACAGGTTGCACAAAATTGCATCCTACGTGATCTTGTGCAAACAATAGAAATATTTCTGCCTTCCTGGGTTTGTCCTCAGGGTAAAATAGGGGTGGAAACCATATATTGTACCCTGAATTCCTTGGAGGAGGGGCGGGATAAAAATGAAATTAAGAAAAATACTGATTTTGCATATTTATACATTAAGGCAGTGCTGTGAAATTTCCAGCCTGGAGGTCAGAATTCAGCCCACAGAGGTTCGCTGTCTGGCCTGCTCTTCTTCAGATGCTGCCAACTCCCCTGGCATCCTCCCCACCCATCTTTATAGTTGAGTGCAGAGGATGGTCTGCGGAGTGCCTCTGTCTGCACAGACAACGGGACTTGGGCAGCCCTTGGAGGAGTGGCTCCTCCAAGCATTAATTAATCACAACCCACTCCCAGCACAGTCAGGATGGCAAGCAAGGCTCCTGACTCAGCTGGTGCCTGAAGGAGCTATTTCCTGCACAGTGATAGGACCAACAGGCAGGATAGAGGCAGGTGGTTTTGGAAGGGGCTGGGGCCATTTATTCCCCTGACATCATAGGGCCATTCTTGTCTGTGGAGCCAATCTGTTCCTCGCCCTTGTACTAACTTTACAGAAGAGTTGCTGGCAGGAGCTTGTTAAACCTTGGTGCCAGACCTTTTGGTCCCACCCCCTTTCATTTTTAAGAAAGCAGCCTAATATAACATCTTACTCAAGTATTTTAAGGAAACCATTCATTGACACAAAGCTACATGTTTGCTATGTTTTTAACGATTGTACAAGTGATAAAAATCCAACATGAGTCAAAATCTTTTGTGGTTAAGATTCACTAGTATCTCCAACATAATGCAAAAGAATATGTAGCAAACATTGTAATTATCCCAGCCTGAGAGATACCCATTAGGAATCAATGGCAGCCCCTGTGTGAGTGAAATCCTTTAAGCCCATTGTGCCTAGGAGAGCAACTGGATGCAATGTGATTGGCATTTCAATGCACGTTTGGACTCCTCAGTGAATTTAATGTGTACTCTTCTTTTTAGGTTTGACCCACATCATCACTATGGATCTTCATCAAAAAGAAATCCAGGGCTTTTTCAGCTTTCCTGTGGATAACTTGAGAGCATCGCCTTTCTTGCTTCAGTATATACAAGAAGAGGTGAATTGATCTTAATTGGTTAATAATAATTTCAGTCTGATTAGATTACAATTTGGCATTGCTCCTGCTTGCACTTGGCTAAAGCAACCTATACCATCCACAAGTGATTTCTCTAATGCTGGAAGAATTCTCAGCAAATGTGTATTCGCCGAGGCTTCGGCGAATGGGGCGGCATAAAAATGTTTTAATAAAATAAATAAAATAATAAAATATTAGGAGCCTCTTTCTTAGCAGTTTAGTGATCCAGTCATGCTATCATTTTGGTCTGCTGGGGAGTGTTTTCTGACAGCTAGATTGATGTTGGCATTAGTTTACATCATAACAAAGTTAACAGTTATAATTTACTGTTAGAATCTGCCATTTTATTTTGCAGTATATAACACCTTTATTTTTAATCTACCTCTTACTATCCTGAAATGGGTAGTGAAGGGAAGAGTGAGAATTTTTAGGTGTGAGATGAGTCCAAAGCAAAACAAGCTATTGTTGTATTTCTCCAGCAGCTTTTGATAATGACTAGATAGAAATACTTAGTTACAGTGTTCTGTCATTCTGGGTATTACTAGGATTGAAGCTACTAAAGGCTTCAGTAGAAAATGTTCACATTGGCTGTTTGCGTAATTTAGTTAGAATGGGCACATCTTCATCAAGCTGGAGAGAACCTAATACCTTGAAGCAGAGCTTTTTTTAATTTTGTGATGTTGAAGCTGATCATGTTTATTTCAAGAGATTTATTTTCAACCAACCAACCAACCAACCAAGATTGAGACTGTACCTATAGGTCTGAAGAAATTTGAGACCTTTAGGGTCAAAGGTCCAGGCATCTTGTAATACATCATCCCTTTCCTGGACACATGCAATGCTGAGAGTAGGTAAATACAACTTCTTCTCTCTAAGTCATTTTCCTGATAAAATTGTCACACTCCCAAAGCTGGTGCTTGTACTGTGGAGCAAATCATACACGCGCTCACCAGACAAAGAATGATACAGAAGGGGACAATTCTTAATCCAGCAAAAAGATATTGGGGGAAAATGTTGAATCTGTGTACCTCTCCAGTCACTGGGTCCCGTATCCAAATTGGTCCCCACCTTTCTGCAGCTGTCTATTAACAGAACTTATTCATGCCTTCATGCTTTGGTTTGGACCTGAGGTAAGAGTAGCCGATACATGAACAGGGTATAGAAATGTCAATATCCTGCAGCAATGAATTAAGCAGGAAATTAAAAACCAATTTAAGCTGAAGAACTGCTTCTCAAGGGTGACATTATTTTTTCCTCTAACCTCATCCTGAAGTAAGAAAGGATAATCTTATGTATAGAATATCCAGACTGTAGTAAGTTAACACAAGAGCTGTATTGTTTTAAAATTTCACCACCTTTTCTCTTCGTTCTAGATTCCTGATTATAGAAATGCGGTAATTGTAGCCAAGAGCCCTGATGCTGCTAAGAGGTAACTGCTGTCTCGTTGTTGTTTTTTTACATAAACATTACAGAATTGGTGAAATGCAATTAACATTCAGTGCATTAGAGTGAACAACTGATGGTCCAGGAACATTAAGCACTAGAGAATGTAAGTGGTTGGAAAACTGATATGGGAGGCCTTTAGTTTGGTTTATTTGCTAAAAGAAGGGACTGTGGGCAGTATCCAATGGAGACCATTTGTAAGTGTCCGGTCCTACTAATTTCCTTGTACAAGAGAGGCCAACCTCTTGCACAATGGAGTTTTAGTGCTTCCTGGGACAACCCAAAGAGAATGGAAATGTTCATTTCTGTAACAGGACAGCTTGGGGAAACTCACATAAGGAATTGGCAGAGCTGACATTTGTAGAACAAAGTGGCAAAGCCCCTCTCCCCTTTTGTGGACAGTCACTAGTGGAGACTGCCCTGTGCTTGAAATATTGCTGAGAAATGTTCATCTCTAGTTAAAAGCGCAATCAGGCCCTTTTCCACAGCAATGTAGTAATGCAGCAAAACTTCTAGGAGTTAAGCTGAGGCATTCTTGTTCCAGCTTCTTACCAAGCAGCTTAAAATTCCCAAAGAAATTCTCAAAATATATTGCTCTCTAAGAATTTTTATTGAATTATTCCATAAAAAGTATGAAGAGTTCTGCCATGGGAGGAAGTGAAAAGAGATTTGCATTAATATAACTACACAGGCATAAACCAAGGGCCAATATTTTTACCAGGTGGCTGCTGGAATGTTCTATCAATGCTGAACATGGCAGGCGTAATGTGCAGGGATAAACACCTTTTAAATATTCTGTGGCAGCTATTTCTGCAAGCTGAGCTGTTATCCCTGTCCACTTCAATGCATGCAGAGAGGGCTCCCTCTGGGGGCTCCCTGGGATACCTGTTGGGGTTTTTAAAAAAAATCTAAGCTAGTGTCACAAGCACAACTAATCTTTTATGAATGCAGCAGCAAGTAATGATAGGAAGTGCAGGTTGACATAGGCTCAAATATCCTCCCTAGAAGCCATACTTCTTCATGAATTCTTCTTCATGAATGGAAATGTTAACTTCCTCTGTGCATCCATAAGTAGCTGAAGGAAATTGAAGTCCTTAGTTGTAGGAAGAGAATGTATTTCAGGAACAGAGGTACTTGAGAAGCTTTGGAAAAGACAATCCCTGCAATACTTTGGACCTGAATTACTTTGGAATACTTCTCTCTGTTTCTTTTTTCTCTTGGATTTTTGGGTCAGTTTCATTCAGCAGATGTCAATAGATAAGTTAAATTTATTGCACGGGGGAGGAGCAGGTGGAAAGAGTGGTGTTGGCATAGGGAGGTGTTTTCCTCGGACATTGTTGTAGGTAATAGAACCTCAGTAGGAAAAGGGTCACATCCTACTCATGGTTTACAGGATAAAAAGCATCTGGTTTTCTTGTTAAGGTGGCAAGACCTGAATGCGCCTCAAGGACTCTTTTGCTAAAATATTTTGCTTTTCATCATTGTATTTTAATTTCCTTTTGCTCAGAGGAAGTTTAGAAACAATGATGAAAAACACAATGATTAAACATTAATTATTCCCTGTAGAAAAACAATCAAACAGGTCCAGAAACTTCTTTCCTAGGGTGAATCTCTTTAAATGAAGCATGTGGGAGAGGGCTTTTCAGTGGGATGATCCAGCATCCCACTAGTTTACTGCTGTGTTCAAGTACTAGAAGCTGGGACTTCAAGAGGGCCGACTTTGGCCAGTTGAAGGCCAGACTGGGGAAAGTCTCCTGGGATAAGTTACTGGAAGGAAAGGGAGTTCAGGAGGGGTGGATGGCACTCAAAAGGAAGGTCTTGGAGGTGCAAGCTTTGACGATTCCTCTAGTTAGTAAAGTGGGGAGGAGAGCGTCGCCATGGATGCAAAAGGAGGTGGTAAGAGGGATTAGACGCAAGGGGACCTCCGTAGGAATGGACAATGGGGCAAGTAGGCAAAAGGGTATACCAGGAGGAGAAGGCCCATTGCAGGAGGATTCTTCGCAAGGCTAAGGCTGATTATGAGGTGAGACTTGCAAAGAATATCAGGAGCAACAAAAAGGGCTTCTATCAACATGTAAATAGTAAGAGGAAGGGGAGACAGGCAGTGAGACCGCTTAATAAGGAGGAAGGGAATTCAGTGACTGATGTGAAGGAACAGGCACAGATGCTAAATGCCTATTTTGCCTCTGTTCTCCCCAAAGCAGGATGGGGGAGATCCACATGGGGATCAGATGAGGTCAGGAACTTAGGGGCACAGATTAGAGTCACCCCGCCCCCCCCCCCCCCAGAAGTCAAGGAGCTCCTCAGGGCACTGGACGTTACAAAGGAACCGGGCCCTGATGGGTTACACCCGAGAGTTCTTCAGGAGTTGATGGGGGTTCTCTCACACTTGCTGGCCTCCATTTTTGAGGCCTCGTGGAGAACGGGTGTGGATCCAGAGGACTGGAGGGTGGCATCAGTGGTCCCAATTTTCAAAAAGGATAATAGAGGGGACATGGGGAATTACAGACTGATTAGCCTAACATCCATTGTAGGAAAGACAATGGCAAGGCTCATAATAGAGCAAGATCTAGTGATGCTAGATAGGGAAGGGAGGCTGACAGCTTCCACAAAAACAGGTCCTGGCAGACAAACCTTGTGGAATTCTATGACAAGGTTTCGAAATGGCTAGATGGAGGGGGCGTGGTGGATGTGATTTACCTGGATTTCAGCAAGGCCTTTGACAAAGTGCCCCATGATATACTGGTTGAGAAATTGAGGAGTTTTGGGATGGACCAATGCACTGTCCGATGGATTAGGACATGGTTGACGGACTGAAAGCAGAGGATAACCATTAGTGAGGAATCATAAGGATGGTGGCCAGTGACAAGCAGGGTCCCCCAGGGCTCTGTCCTGGGACTGATCCTGTTCAGTCTTTTCCTCAATGACATGGAAGAACGGGTGAACAGTCCACTGATCAAATTTATTTATTTATTAATTTCAAACATTTCTATGCCGCCCCCATCGCAACAAAGCCTTGGGGCAGCTCACAACAAAAACAAAATATACAAATATAACAATTATACAACAAAAATATTAAAACCCAGTGCATCTCAGCTTAAAAGATTTAAAATCCTATAAATACCAATCAATTAACAATTAAAATAAGTTTTAAATAAAAAGGTCTTAGCCTGGTGTCAAAAAACAAATAACGACGGTGCCAGGCGAACCTCTCTGGGGAGCGCATTCCATAGATGGGGCGCCACTGCAGAGAAAGCCCTCCTCCGGGTACTCACCCTCCTAATATCATTCACAGAGGGTTCCTGGAGAAGGGCATCTGTTGCTGATCTCAAAGGGTGGGAGGGCATATATGGACGCAAGCGTTCCTTTAGATACCCAGGTCCCAAGACATTGAGGGCTTTATAGGTCATAACCAACACCTTGAATTGGGCCCGGACTTCAATCGGGAGCCAGTGGAGCTGACGGAGAACTGGGGTTATATGAGAACAACGCCCAGTCCCCGTCAGCAGCCTGGCAACTCTGTTCTGCACCAACTGAAGTATCCGGACCGTCTTCAAGGGTAGCCTCACTTAGAGCGCATTACAGAAATTTAATCAGGAAGTTAGCAACGGGTGTGTCACTGTTGCCAGGCAGTTGTTCTCCAAGAAGGGACGCAGCTGATGGATCAGCCGAAGCTGAAGGAAAGCACTCCTCGCCACCGCCATCACCTGAGCTTCTAGAGACAGCTAGAAGCTCAGGTGCACTCCTAAGCTGCGAACCCTGTCCCTCAGAGGGAGTGCAACCCCATTTAGGACAAGGCCCAAGTCCCCCATCCCGAGGTCCAAACCACCCACCAACAGGACCTCTGTCTTGTCTGGACTGAGCTTCAGTTTATTGGCCCTCATCCAGCCCATTACCTCAGCCAGGCACCGGTTCAGCACAGCCACTGCCTCACCTGGATTGGTGGAAAACGAGAGGTAGAGCTGGGTATCATCAGCGTACTGATGATTCTGCAGCCCACACCTCCTGATGACCTCCCCCAGCAGTTTCATGTAGATGTTGAATAGCAAGGGGGACAAAATGGACCCCTGCGGAACTCCATGGCATAACTGCCATGGTGCAGAGCCATAGTCCCCCAGCACCACCTTCTGAAATCGGCCATTGAGCTAGGAGTGGAACCACCGCCATGCGGTGCCTCCAACTCCCAATTTCGCTAGCCTATTCAGAAGGATACCATGGTCGATGGTATCGAAAGCCACTGAGCGATCCAGAAGAACTAACAGGGATGCACTTCCCCTGTCTCTCTCCCTGCACAGGTCATCATACAGGGCGACCAAGGCAGATTCAGTGCCATACCCGGGTCTGAAGCCAGACTGAAATGGGTCCAGATAATCAGTTTCATCCAAGAGTGCTTGGAGTTGTCCTGCCACCACCTGCTCTAGCACCTTGCCCAGGAACGGGATGTTGGCCACCGGTCTATAATTGGCGGCCGCCTCTGGATCCAGGGATGCCTTCTTTAGGACTGGCCGGACTACCGCCTCTTTTAAAGGGGAAGGTACCTGACCGTCTCTTAAAGAGGCATTGACCACCTCCAGGATCCAGGTCCCAATACCATCCCTGACTTTCTTAAGTAGCCAAGATGGGCATTGGTCTAGTAAGCAGGTAGTAGGGCGTACTTGTCCAAGCACCTTGTCCACATCATCAGGCCGCAACAATTGAAATTCATCCATTAATTGTGGACTCGACAGCGTCGTTGGCATCTCCTCAGTAGAATCTGAAATTCACAGACAATACTAAAACGAGCAGTGGCCACAACTGAAGAGCAGGTAGTCCAGATCCAGAAGGATCTGGACAGACTGTGAAAGTGGGCATGGGACAACAGGATGGAGTTCAATGTGGATAAGTGCAAGGTGTTGCACTTGGGGCCTAGGAATGGGTGTCATAAGTACAGGTTAGGAGACAAGTGGCTGGAGAGCAGCACTTGTGAAAGGGATACTGGTTAACTGCAGGCTAAACATGAGTCAGCAGTGTGACATGGTGGTCAAGAGGGCCAACACCACCCTTGGTTGCATAGCCAGAAGTGTGGCTTCTAGATCAAGAGAGGTATTACTGCCACTTTATACGACTCTGGTGCGCCTGCAACTGAAGTATTGTGTTCAGTTCTGGGCTCCACATTACAGGAAGGATGTAGCCAGGTTAGAGTCAGTGCAGCACAGGGCCACAAGGATGGTGGCCAGATGGCAGGGGAAGCTGTATGAGGCAAGACTGAGGGAACTGGGTCTCTTCAGCCTGGAGAAGAGGAGACTCCAAGGGGATCTGTTGGCGACATACAGGTACGCGAGGGGGTGTCACATGGAGGTGGGGAAAGACCTGTTCTCCCCTGTAGAAGAAGGCAGGACACACTCCTGCGGAGCCAAGCTCAAGAACCAAGATTCAATTTGGATGCCAGGAAGTACTTCCTGACAGTCAGGACCCCGAGGGTGTGGAATGGGCTTCCACGGGAGGTGGTTGAGGCCCCATCGGTGCGGGTATTCAAGGATAGGCTAGACATGCACATGGTGGGCATGTCGTGAGGAGAGCCGACTGGAGCCGGGGGTCAGACTAGATGGCCCAAGAGGTCCCTTCTGACTCGCTATGTTTCTATGTGTTTGTGTAGGGCCCAGTCTTATGCTGAGCGGCTGCGGCTAGGATTGGCGGTCATTCATGGGGAGGCTCAGTGCACGGAGCAAGACATGGACGATGGACGACACTCTCCTCCAACAGTTAAAAATACTACGCTGCACACTGGTCTGGAACTGCCCTGTACGTTGTTGTGTTCTTTTTTGTTTGTTTTTGTTGGGAAAGATTCCAACCCAAGAGCTCATCCACATTCTCTGTTGAAGAGGTGAAAAGCAATACAACATCAGAGAGCATAGCATACTAGCACTCAAGAGACAGATCAGTAGGCAACCAGGATTAGCACGGCTAAATTAGAACTTTTGTATGTACCAAGGGATAACCTTCCAGAAGTCAGTTGATACCTTTGCTTAGATACAGCTGAGGTATCAAGGAAACTGAGCCCTCGATTCCACTAAAAGCATTAAATTTGCATATGTGATGTGCCATTTCACACTGCATGTGGAAGTGTGTGTGACTGGAATGCTCCTCAGTTGAAAAAGCTCTCTATGCATAAAAAGTAGCTAGTCAAAGAGAAGGGGCCAGGTTAGGCTCCTATTTTGCATCTAATTTGCTGTAGGAGTAAAAATATAGGGGGAAATCTCAATCATGTAAACGCTACCTTTAGTCTGGTACCTACAACTGGATGCAGGTTTATTGCAGCAGTAAGAACTAGGGCTAAAAAGACAGTATTTTGAGGGGAATGCAGAAAAACAGCCAGTTCGCTGGGGTGGGGGGAGTTGCTTCTGATACCAAAAGCAATTTTAAAGATAGGTCATGTATTCCTTGTAAACCATTCAGTGCTTTCTAACTAGGAGTGAGATGCTAAGCCTGGGAAAGCAGTTCTTCACAAGGCTTGTTCTGCACTAGTTTATATGCATAAATATCTTATTGTGAAGCAGTTAGTTCTGTTGCTACTCTTAAGATTGTACAGAAGCCCTGCTGCATGGAAAGGAGTATGTAGTGCATGGCAAATTAAAAGGGACTGGGGCCAAGAGAGGCATTCCCACTGTGCAAATTTCCAGAGCTTTCCTTCATTTTTGACCGGCTGCCAAGAAGTTTCTGGAAGTGAATTCTGAAAAGCTGTACATTGTGAGCCTGCAAAGAGTTACTCAGAAAACAAAACACTCTTCTTATCCACCCTATGGCTTTCCCTTTCCCCTTGTTTCTCTTGTCCACTTATCCTTTTCTTTCTCACTTTCTTTTTCACTCTTTTCACACATTTGTTACCATGCAAGAGCACATTATATATGCTTCTAATCTAAACTATGCTGTTTCCTGTAAAAATAGCTTGCTAGAAATACAGCGTTAGCTTTATTTGGTGAGTCAGAACTTTTTCTCCTGTGTGAAAATGAAGCTACCTCAACATTTCTGTCTTTTAACAAAATTACAATAGTGTGGTTATCATTTGCATGCTTATTCGTTTAATTTGTAGTGTTTTAACAGTATATATTTATCATCTGGCCTACAGTCACATTCTCTTTACTAAAAGTCCACCTATGACTTGGCTGATCTCAGAAAAATAATTTTACTCTACTTAGTGCTAGATAAAGTGATCTGGCTGCAGAAATCTTGTGTGTTGCTTAAATCTAAGAAGCAACATTTTTATTTTTATTTTGCAAACACTATTGTACTGCATAGTATATTTATCCCCATGTTTTGCTCATATGCTTCTGTGATTTTTCAGTACAAAAATCTTCAGTATACTTTAGCATTCCCTGTGAACTGTTGCATAAAACTGACCATAATACAAGAATGTAATGATATGCTGAAATAATACTTTGAAATATATATTTATAAAAAACTGACATCAATTACACTAAAATAATAAATTGGTGTACACTTTTACTATCAAGATTTTAACACAAATGATTTAAAGCTGTATGTGCGCAGGCTTTTCACACAATCAGGAAATCTGTATGATTACAATTCCCAGTTACAACAAAACCTACAAATCTCATTTCTGACATGCGGATACCTGACGACCTTCCCAGGGAGTTCAGCTTACCAGTGTGTTGGTTTGTTAGGGCAGTGATGTTTTCCTGTTTTGTTGTATTTTCTGTGATTAATGCTATGTGTGGCCCTTGCATGCCACCCTGAAATCCAGCTGGATAGAGGGAATTTAGATTTTTAAATACTTAGATTTTTTTTTTTTTAAGCTTGGGCAGGACCACTGGGGTGGACCCACATTTTCTCTTCACTGGTTGGATGTAGGTGTGGACGAGGTTGTTCAGACATCCCCTATTGTCGCATGCCCATGATCACCTACAGTGTCATCTATATTGGAAACTGGATGCTCCCCCGCTGTGGTCATGGCCTCCCAGGTTTCTTCAAGGCAGCCCATACCAGAGCTTTTCTGATTTTTCTCTGATAAGTGCTCAAGCTCATCTCCAGCATCCTACAAGCAGAGGTAGTACATTTCATTGACTATACCATGTGATAAGACCATCAGTGGCTGCCATTCCTGATGGCTCTGCTACTTCAGACACGACATGCCCATGTATACCAGTTGCTGGGGAACATGGGCAGGAGGGTGCTAATCATCAGATCAGTCACGTCCTGCTTGTGGATTCCTCAGGGGCTGGTGGGCCACTTGTGAACAAAGTGCTGGATTAGACGGACCCTTGGTCTGATCCTGCAGGGCTTCTGTTCATGTTCTTATGACTAATAAGAGTAGGCTGTTCACATTTGCAGTGGCAGCTTCATGAAATGCTATCAGTTTCTTCACCCAAGGCCTTTTCCCTGCCTATATTGAGCTGAACCAGCGAGAAGGAAACTGGACCTGCTGCTTCTGGAATGTATTCTACCTTCTTTTAGTGCATTGTGCTTTTTGTCATTCTTTTTAAATGTTAGGTGAACGAAGGCTTGTTTCTTTTCTTCTTTAGAGATAATTGTTCAAGTAAGAGGGAAGCGTTCTAAAAACCTGGTATGTCCGCACCCTTGACTACTCTTCCATATTTTAAAAAGATATCATTTCATTAAGTCGGAAGAAATGGGTGAACTGCTTCTAACATTGGTCTCATTTCCCTTATAGTTGTTTGTCTCTGTTTATGGTAATAAGTTGAAGTAGGATTTACTGGAAAAACCATACTGAATTTCTGTTGTTCAGCTGAACTCATTGGCTTGAGTGCTGACTTCTCTCTCATCGATTTGATGTAAGCAAAATCGTTCTTGGATGCCAGCTTAAGCAGGCTGCGCTTACAAACCCTTTAGGTGTTATATAGTACAGTATCTCTACCAAGAGGCTTTTGCTATTGCCGAAAGAAAATTTACAATTCTATACTGGTAGGCCAGTACCTGTGATCAAAATGTTTAGCTTTCAAAGTTTGATTTTGCTTTGATTAAGCTTGCAGTTTTAGCATTTACAATGGAATAAGTCCCATTGAACATAACTGACTTGAATTTCAAGTAAATATTTCAAGAATTGTGCTCTTCTGCTGTCATCTTTAATACAGAAAAGTCATTGTCTTAACCTCCCAAAACCTCAGTGCATTGACAAGATGGCAAAAGAGAACTCAGATGAACAATCCACTGAATTGGAATTAGGTTACATACATGCTGGATACAATAAAGTGCAACATGGTTGGGCCATTACAAAATCAGTTCCTTTACTGGTGGCTCTTATATGCACATATCATTTGTTCTAGTCTGAATATTGTGCTACTGCCACTGCATTTCACTCTTTTATTGCATATATTTTGAACAAATAGCCAACCAGCAAGCCTCAGCACATTTTTAACCTTAAACACAAACTTATTTACTGATACAATGGCACTTGCAAAGAACTTGTGGTGTACTGGATTGTCAAGCTTACCTTTTAAAGGATAGCTAAAATAAGCAATGTGGATCTTAGGCAAAATTTTGTGCACTGATATGTTTCAGTCAGGCAAGGCGTTGCAGAAAACACAAAAAAGAAAAACTGAATTTCTCTGCCCTTACTTAGGCAAATGAGCACCACAATGTCCAGTATGAGGACTGTGCTGTACATTAACTTTCAAAGCATAGCAGCTGCATATATACCTAATGCAATAACACTATAACTTTTTTTTCTGTAGTGATGATGGCCAAAGAGAAACCACCCATAACAGTAGTTGGAGATGTTGGAGGCAGAATTGCCATCATTGTGGTAAGGAGCAAAAAGGTCAAGAGGGTGAATGGGATTTTCCTTGGTTTTATCCCCTCTCTGTTCTTTATACCTGAATATAGCTTGGATTTCAGTTCTGGGCTAGAAGCCATGTGTTGATGGTGCCAGTTCACTAAACAGTTACACTGTATCCTCTTGTTTTGCTTTTCTGCTGCTTAATTAAATAGGAATGTTTTACTCCCGGATCAAGTGTTTACTGTGGTGTAGGTTCCACAAATCTTCCTATTTGCTTAAATGTGTAAAGCAACCCAAATCTGATGAACAGGGATATCTTACTGAACGCCACAGTGTTCAGGATTACGTGTTGATCCCCTCAGACAAGAGTCTGGGTCCAGCTGTCTTCCCACTTGGAGGAGTGATTATTTCAAGGTAGAAGGGCAGGCGTCTTAGCTTGAGCAAGCTCACGCAGTGTGCATGTTGCCTCGGTGTCACCGGATTCCATAGAAGCAAGCTGGGGGAGAAAGGATGGAGAGGCTTAATGGTAATGGTAGCTGCAAGAAAGATTGGGAAAGGCAGTTTCATTTTTCACATCCTTCCAGCCAAACGTGTAAGGCACTGCCAACCTGCTGGTTTCATGGCCGTCCATGTGGCTCATACGCTTTGTGCAGGAGCAGTGCATGATGTGCAGTCTGTGTGGCTAGTATCCCCCTGCCGAAAGCGCATCTTCCTTTCTAGAGGAAATTTCCAGAGGTTCCAGGTGTTTACAGCAAACGGCAACCAGGAGTACACAAGGGCTGCATTCTGAATCTTCTCTTGGGTGCAAGACATCCAATGCCAGTAGTGTATCCAAATACATGTTTGTGTTTTCAAAGATTCTCTCTCCTTAGCCATTGGACCTTCAGTTGGAGATAAATGTTTCCGTGCATTATTTACAAATGACAGTCTTCCACTCATCTTTGAAACAGTTTGCTTCAGATATGTATATATGTTATATTTATATATGCATATATTAATTATGGTAACTAAGCCCTTGTTCGGGATTTTGGTATAAGGTACCCGATACCAAAAACATGTTAGCAGTTTCATCCATAACTCGATGTGGGCACAAGCATCTTCAAATGATTCTGAATTTATAGAAGTAAATTGAGTGTGTGGGTAATGGGAGCAGTTCCAGCTTGTAAGCAACTTCCAATTTTTAATTGGGATTCACTTTGCTTCACAGGATGATATCATTGATGATGTGGAAAGCTTTGTGGCAGCTGCAGAAATCCTGAAAGAGCGTGGTGCTTACAAGATCTTTGTCATGGCCACTCATGGGCTTTTGTCTGCAGATGCTCCTCGTCTAATTGAAGAGTCATCAATTGATGAGGTGAGTCTCTCTGTAGGCTGCAGGCTAAGGTTTGGGCCTCTTGCCTATACAAACTTACAACTTCAAACCCACCAACAGAATGGAAAAGATGCATGCATGGAATACAAAGTTGTTGCATATATTCAGCATGTAATTGAAGGGAACCTTCGATTGGGCTAATGAACTGTACTGAGATTGAAGACCAACTGTCATGGGCTTGTCATTATAGGAAAGATGCTTGGCTTAAAACCAGAACTTACAAATAGGGATCTCCTGAGGTATATTTTCCTTTTATGAAGCCCTTGCCATGCTGGCATCTGAGGTCTGTCTGCTGTCCTCCTCCTTCAAGTTCAGCACAAGTTATTCTCCTCACTACCATTGCTCAGCACCTTCCAGACTACAGAAATAGAGTGCTGTGTTATGGCAGCTGCCTGTCTCAGTGATCTCCCACTCCTGGCCTTAACATTGGTCCTCACTAAGAGAAATACTATACAGGAGTATCTCTCAGCCTTCTTTCTCACTACCTTCATATTAGATAAAACAGAAGGCACATGGAGTCACACAGCTGCAGTAATGTGAGTGCATTTCTCCAATTAGGACAATGTACCTGAGTGCTACAGTGGCAGTGCTTTTGGTGCATTTTGCCCTTCTGGCTTCAGGGGCTTAAAAGCCGAGTTAGGCTCGCTCACATGCAGCAGTGGATGTTCTCCTGGGGACCAATTGTGGAGCCAAGAGAATCTTAATAGCAGTGAGCCCTGCTTAAGTAAAGTGGCTGCTCAGCCACTAGTCTTGAATGCTGGGGTATAAATAGAGATGTTTGGGAGGCCTTAGCTAGCACTCTTTGGGTCATGTAAATTGTTGCCTTTTTAAGTAAGTGATTACTGGGGAGTTTCGAACTCTCTGTTGCTTCATACAACTCAGCCCTCACCATGAAGGACGCAATCAGTCCTTTGCTGGAGAGAAGCAAGTTGTCTGAATCTGCTGGAGAACACCAAATGCTGAAACTCCTCCCTTACTGGAAGTTTTTCACTTGTCATGGTGGTCTGCTTTTGAGGCATCCGGATGGTTGTGCAACTAGGACAATGCTGGGAAGGGCTTTTTCAGGATGTTATTTAAGTATCCCTTCTAGAAGAGAGCTATGGAACTTTTCAGTCCAAAGGATGAACTCAGTTTCAGAGAAGCTCTTCAGGCTCCACTTTATAGTGGTGGATGGTGCTGAAGGGACAAGGGGAGGAGACAGAGTTCCAAAAGCACTGACATGCCAGTAGGCAAGCTTCAGGAGAGGTATTTCGACCTTTTAAGATTTGGGAAAGGTACAAAAATAAAATGCAAAGCTGGAAAATCATCACATGATCCTTGATGAGAGATGAGGGATGGGGTTGTAGCCAACTGTGGAACCCTGGAGGGCTGGATTAAGGACCTGGGTGGCCCAACTTTGTTTTGTGGGGCTCAGGATTAACACTCCTCTTTTAGAACATCTTTCAATTTTAGTATCTCCTGAAGTCTTGTAATACATGTATTACCTGCACCCCAAAATATATTGAGGGATAGCAATACCCGTGTCTTAAATCTGGCTGTGGTCTCTCCTTATGTTAAAGAATTATCAACGCTCACACAATCAGGTGTCCTCTGGTGTATACCAAAGAACATCTAGTTTGATTTGGATTGTCTTTGTTTTTTAAAATTCTTCGTATATTCACATCAAATAGCTGCATCTGCCATCTTTTCTTGTGTTTTTCTCTTTCCCATACATTGATAGGTGGTGGTCACCAATACAGTTCCCCATGAAGTGCAGAAACTGCAGTGTCCCAAGATAAAGACTGTGGATATCAGTTTGATCCTCTCTGAAGCAATTCGCCGAATCCACAATGGGGAGTCCATGGCTTACCTGTTCCGCAATATTACCATGGATGATTAGATTCTTTTTGTCATTCTGCTATCTGGTTTTCTCAAACAGAAGAGAGAAAGGAATATGCATGAAAAAGCAGTGCCATACAGTTGATAGTATACAATTTGGTGGGGGGTAGGGAGTTTTTCAGTGGGGATGGGTGTTGACTGATGCCATGAGAACTGAGAGTCTGATTTTTACTGGTCTGACAGCTCTTTATCTGGAGGCTCTTAGGTCAGGCTGCAAATAGGCATTTGGCATGTACTTTAAATTGTTTGAATGATACTCATGGTGGCCTTTTGCTTCTGTTAAACAAAGTTAGTGTGTCACAAGGGGGCAATTGGGGTTGACCTCGGTGGCTTACTACGATTTTGCTTACTCCATGAATTCTCTAGGCACACGCTTCCTCAAGCTACTTGGAAGAAAGCATGCTTGTTCTTGTACTGGTGGTATGTGCAATGCCCTCTTGCCATTTTGAGAACCATTCTTAATCTCGTGGATGCAGCAGAATTTCCTTTTGTGAAATCATTTACTAATTGGTTCATTTTATGGCAGCTTAGGTAATTTCGTCAGCAATAACATAGCATGATGCTGTGGTTCCAAAGTTGTGGTAGAAACTAGACTGTGCTACCTCTTCTTATTTATAGAGTACTAGGCACTAATCATGCCTAGCTGGCATATAAGAGAGATGTAGGACTTCTGTCATTCTTGCTACTGATTTGGAGATTAAGCGCAGTGGAAGGACATTTGTCTCTGGTTGTATTCAGTATTCACGCGAGTCCCAAGACTGAGGTATGTTCTCCACAAAGGATGGAGAGACCCATGCAGTACCTTCCAGTGTCTTGCATAGCTGTATTCCCTATTGCAAAATGATTAACCAAGTTAAATGGTACTTTGTGAATCCTTGAGGTTAGCAATATAGACTGACCCCTTCTATTAACATTAGGGTGGTTTAGCCTGCTTTGCAAAGCAGTGGCTTTTACACATTTTATTATGAAGGCCTATAGAATTTCATATCTGTTTGTGTCTGTCTATTAGATTACAGCCCCTGGCTTGGAAACTGAGCTCCCTGCCCTTTGTGCATTGTTCCCCCCTGCCCTGCCTTAACACCTGCTCCCGAATGTCTGTGTCCCACCCATCAGATTCCTGCAATCTGCTGGCAAACCCCTCTCAATGTCTGGGAACCACTCATCTTATTCCTATGCATTGCCAACTTTTCAATGCCAAGAGTTGATCTTTTCAGATCAATTCCAAGCTTTTAAGAAACCCTCTTGCACATTTGATAAGAATGTATTAACCTATATGTAACACCAGCAAAAGAACTGCATATTTCCTTCCCAGATGACTATAGAGCAGGACTTGGACCTTCTAAAATCTTTGATTATTTTTAGATTGGTAACAGTTCAGAAGTTTGCTAACAACTTTCTTTAAAGTAGTTCTTAAAATCACCTTGTTGAAATGCTGTTTACTCAAACTATAGTTTGGTCCCAAAAAATTAAGAATATCACAGTTGCCAATCAGGGTCATTGGCATCTTGCTTGGCTACCCAGCTGCTGGAAACAACTCACAAAGGCAGGGCTGCCATAGGAATGCGAGGCCAAGGAAGCAAAACCTGATGCTGCTCCCCACGCCGAGCTGGCAGCTGCCTCTGAGGGCTGCTGTGCAGCATGGCCCAGCCCAGGCTTCCTCACTCAGCACCGGTGTCAAGTGGTCCACTCAGTTCAGCCTGGCTTCTCTTGGCTTGGTCGTAGCCACTCTGTAGGGTCCCTAGATCCAGCTCTTACATTTTTTAACATTTCAGTTGAAGGGAGAATTGTTTCTGGGGCAGCTTCTCCCCCATGGTAAGGATGATGAAGTGAAAAGAGGTCAACAACACCTGGCAAAATCTTGCTGTTAAAAGTCGATGCAAAGGGGACAAGAGCACTGTCAAACCATGCAGCTCCGGCCCTTGTTCTTCTGCAGCTTCCAGAAACTTCTTGCCGGGTCAGTCCTTTCCTTCTAATGGCTCCCAGCTTTCATGTTGCTGTGCAAGAGGTTACTTCCCCAGACATCATTTTCTTCTTGACTACTTGAGCGCAGTAGTCTTCCATGCCCCTCTGTGCATCGTTGAACCTGCCCCCTTTCCTTCACCAACCTCTCTTTGGGCTCAGTGCCCCTTAGTCTTCCGGCCTCCTGCTAAGAGTGGCTTTGGCCATTATAGGAAGTACAGAAAAGGGGATGAACAACTCAGGCATGCTCTTTCGCAATGTAAGGAGCAAGGTCATGGGGAGTTGGGCGTTCCATTACTCATTCCATTCCACTCTAAATACTGCATCAAAAGCACAGAAAGAAGAGGATACCTAATCTGACATCTTGGCACAATTTGTAAAAGCCCAAATCACTTGCTTCTACAGCTCTTCTTTTCTCCGTCCCTTGCAGTAGGAGCTATTGTATAGGAGCAATTATATTGCAATAGGAACTATTAATAACCAACCTTATTGAAGCTGAACTTTCTGAATAGCCTGTTGGAACAGATGGAACTTTTACACTGTATGTTTTGCCCTGAGCATTCAGTCTATTGACAAAAACTATAAATACAGCTTCATTACCTCATCAGCTAGAACACTAATAAGCATTCCATGACATCATAGCCATTCAGCCAATCTCTGCTGGAGGCTTCAATATCATGGATGTGCTTCAGTGCATTACAATATATATGAATGGATTTTGGGAGCTCCCAAATACCTGCACTGAAAGAAAAAGAAGAAAAGGATTCTGCTATGGTCTCACTCATTCCAAACTAGTATTAACAGACATGTAGTTAAAGTCTGTTAGTTAACTAATCCAATCAACAACCACATTATAAGAGTTGTTGTAGCAAAGCAGAGCTACAGTACTAACAGTCAGGATGACGGTATGCTAAAACCACAGCAACCTACACTGGCACTGGAGTTTAAGTGCCTTGAATGTGGAGTGGTAGTTCTAATCCACATCAGTAATTCTACGAACAGAGCTGACTGTGGTGTACTTTCCAGAGTGATTAACTTTGCGATCTTGATGCTATTTAGACCATCACCCTTAACTGCTTAAAATTGCAGTCGAGGCTGTCAAGAAAGACCATGCAGACCTTTTTTTCCTCCACTTTTTCTTGGAAACGAGGAGTTGTCCTTCAACTTTTCCCTACATGTTCCCTCCCCCACCCCCCAGCATATGTAAGCACATTTCAGTGTGTGTGAAAAGCGCAAACATGATGACTGAAACTCAAGGAAAAGCCTTGACTGTTCAGCAAGCAAAGGCTTCTCAGTTTGTGTATGCAAAAGTGCAGAGGTCACAAGTTAGCTACCTTGCTGGCTCTCGTTGATTCCATAAGTATGTATGTCTGGACATAGACTCCTTGTCGAGACACTAGTTTACAAGTGCTATGCCCTCTCAGATAACCCTCAGTATAAGCAATACATTGGAATAGGCTCACAACAGTTTTACTAGAAATGGAGGCTGAAGTTACCTCACTTGGTTCATTGCTATGATTTTTATGAGCTTGGGTTCAAAGTCAGATATTTCTTATATAAAAAGAATGTACTTTTAAAGTATCGATGGCACTGCCTAAAATGTGGGTGAAGTCTGAAATGTTGTGATGTCTCCTTTCTGCTCAAGTGGTTTCAGGTTTGTGCTGGTTATTAGTTGCCAGCTTTACAACCATCAAAACCATCCATATACATAGTAGAGAGTAAAAAAAAAGTTTATGCATTATCTGTACTGTTTTGTTCAAACAATATATTGGGTTTAATCTTCCTTTTAAAGTAATTTGTTAGTAAATCTGCTCATGAGACAACATGGCTACAGAAAGATTGGTGGTGGATTAGGGGTAAAGTGATAGGAAGGTATTTTTATGTGGCATGCAAATGCTAGGCATGGGTAGTCATGCTGTGCATCTGCCTGTCAACCTGCTGGTTTCTGGGGCATTGTTTCTTTAAACATAATGGCTTTCAAAAACAAGCAGTGCGGAAGCCTCTGCCATGTCTTTATTGAGCTTTTGGGGAAGATGCTTCCTTTTATAAACAGTTGTCCTTGGACTGATTTTTCTCTATTTTGCTAGTTTATAAGTTTTTGTGGAAGCTTACAAAGTCAGAATTCTCAGTAAGTACTGGGGAGCTTATTCTACCAGTGGCTGCTTATTTTTCTTTATTAATGATTCCATCCTTGTTGGTATCACTTTTGATGGTCTTCAAAACCAAGTCCTATTTTAAGTAACTATCAAAGTCTCAATGGCAAGACTTGAGACAGATTCACAATCTCAACTATCTGATGTAAAAATGATGCAGTTTTTAAAGGGAACTGATTCTTCAGTTTTTTAAATCAGATATTTAAATCAATTTTATTCAAATTTGTAACTATCATTCTAGCTTTTAAAATCCTTTGATATTTTATCAGCACCAGCATATTATCATTCTCATTTTGTTTCCTTCTTTTGCTTTGCTTCATGTCTCTTTATCAAGATAACAAAGTGGTGCCACAATCCATACTTATTAACAAAATTGCTAGTCCATTAGCCACCCCTACAAGCTAAAGATAATTCACCTTTCTGAGAAACCCAGGCAAAAAGTACTCTGGCCATAGAAAATGGACCATGTCCCGAAACTCACAGAATGGGTAAAACCAAGGAGCCATAAACAACTGAGATACGGTCACATGAGCAGAGAATTTTTCTGCATGATCAGGCAAAGCATGCTCCAACTACATTTTATCTTTTGCAAGTTGGCATGAAGATACTTTGGGCTTTATTTGTTGACAGCAATGCAGGTTTCTGTTTTGACCTATTTTGAGGCAGTGGGTAAAAATCCTGCTGTTTGCTCCCTGTTTCCCATTCAAAAGATGGAGTATGAGCATTTGTACCACAGTGTGGACCAGAGGTGGGTGGTTGTGTTCTCATTTACATCACGCGGACTATCCATGGGTGACAGAATTTTTTGTATTGCAAAGATACTAACAACTGATGTCTTTCTTAAATGCAAGATACTCTGAATATGCAAAACCCCACAAAGCATGTGCTCATCTGAAAGAAGATGTATGAACTGTTCATGGAAGATGAATGAGTGTATGTTCAAGTGCAATTCAGATCATCAAAACTGAAAGGAATTCTTCCACTGGCTGTGGATTATGTCCCTTTAACTGCAACAAGAACAAAAAGGGAATAATATAGGAAGGATTTCAACATGTTCTAAAGTAACTTGAGAGATGGATCTGATTTTCATCTAATTCACTTCACAAGAAAACATAGAAACTTGATCCAGAAAGCTGTTCAATTGGGACCCATTCTGATCCATGTGAAAATGATTTTTTGTTGTTTTATATAGCTTATCCCATGATGCCATCCCTGGAATCACTTCAAGACGTACTGCTCAATGTCTTTTTCATACACATCCTTTCCTCCTTTCAGCAGTAATTTTCATAATGTGCATAAAAAGTGTGGGGAGCAATGTGTTCAGCAGTGTTTAACCTCTATGAAAATAATTATGTATTTCTTGGACCTGCTGATAGCGCTTAATTCTTTCCTCGCTTGCTGCTGCTAATTGCTCTATTGGCTCAAAATTCTTTGCTCAGCAGTTTTTTTGTCGCAGGGCCCCAGAAACACATTTATTAGGGATCAAGGCTAGCAAAGGAAGATGCAATCATCCTGTTTAATCCAAGGAGTCCTTTCATTATTGCTGTTTGGCTTGATGTAACTGAAACTAGATTTAGCAGTATGAAGGGCTTAAAATCCTTTTGACTGCCAGCAGATCTTGGCCTAGTGAAAGACAACTTGCCATTCCTCACAGAACCTGGACTTGCTTATGGAAATGCTTTCTGACTGCATCGCCCATAAGATGTGACTAGTGGAAACTGTTAGATTCTTCAGAGTATCTTGGAAGATGCTGCTAATTCTCTCAAACTGGCAATAGTACAAATGTTATTATCAAACCTATTTCCGTTGTGCCAGCAACTATGATGTGTTTATTGCTGTCTTGCCAGTTACGTCAAAACACCACACACAAATTGGCTGTGGTCCTCTGTCTGGTTATACATTATTACTGAATAGTGTTCACCACCAAGTAAGTTCACAATAGGCTGTGTTTCTGCAAAGAGTCTAGCAAGGAATTTAACAGCTCTTGTTCTCAAGGTTGTGGTCCCCTCAATGAAAGGTGCACAGGAAGTAAAGAGGATGATTTCAAGTAGGGCGTGTGTTATGACTATTGCAGCAAAACCAACAAGAGTCTTGTGTTTCCTTAAAGACTAACATGTCAATTCCAGTATAAATTACAGTCTCATTTGATAGCAACATGTAGTATTATGGACAGCATCATATTTATCATATTCAATACATATTGGGGGAGCAGGTGGAGGGAAGAACTGTAGACTGTGGTCAGAAAGTGTACAGACCAAACTTTGGAGATGTGGTCAGTTGCTTCCATTTAATAATGACACTAATTCATAGCTATCATTCTGGGCATGGAACCTTGAGCTAAAACATTGTCCAGGGCCTCGCTTTCAGGGCCAGTACCAGAAAATTAAGAGTGAGGGAAGGTACAGATGTAGAGTTAAATTGTGGGCACAATTTCTGAAAGAGAACTATAGTTCACCCTAATGCTTTCATCCTAAATACATTTTTTCTTGAACTAATTCTTGTTGATTTTGATAAAGTTAACGTCCAGGTAACACATTATATAGCAAGCATTGAACAGCTACATTCAAATTACAATTAGGAAAAAGACTTTCTGAAGCTAGAGTTCTGACAAACACTCCCTTGGTGTACAAATTAGGCGGATGACACCAGTGTGTTTCTGTAGAAAGCACTATTACTTTTGACTTGAGGCAGATAGAACCAGGAATCCAGGTTCTTAGTGAGAGGAAGCTAACAGCAAACTTGAGACAAGACAGCTCCAGAGAGACTTCTTCCTCCGGGTGTCATGTCCTCTGCAAACCTAGGTCTGGCCTGCTAGTATGATCACACAGGTGCCCAAAAAAGCATGATACAGACCAATTTCTCACCCTATCCAGGCCTTGGAAGCCTCTTTTGTGCCTCTGCCTGATAGTTACGCTTCTTTTTTCTTTCCTTTCTTGATTGAAGCAGCTCCCCTCCCCATAGTTCACTGGGAGTGTTCAGTCCGTAGCTCTCAAGGAACAGGCCAGGCGCTGGAAAAATGTGTGCCCCCCACCTCTCACTGGCTTACAACCTGCAACAGAAGAGTCACAGCCTGCCCACCCTTCTGGATAATGTTTTAACAGTCTTCACTCCAGCTTGAAATAAAGTTTCTGAACTCTTGCTGTAGCAAACAAGGTTTGTTGTAAGATGGAAACAGGTTCAGCAAGACTTTACCAGTAGTATTAAATCATTTGTTCCCTCTGGCTGCTGTGTTAACACCTTCCTGTTTTGGCATAATAGTCTTGCTGTCTACAAATGGGAATGACCTCCATTTAACTCATTTCAATTTGCTTCTCAGTCAATATTCATAGGACTTCTGCTATAAGCAGTTAAGGTGGGGTCCCTCTTTGTTCTTTGGTGTAAGTTGCTCCATTAAACTATGGGGGAGAGCTGGATGTCAGTGGCATAGAAGGGAGCCTGAGGTCAGCCACCAGTGCTCCAAAATCTCTTCCCACCTCTCAGTTGAGTTACTGACAAATGAGCCTTGATTGTTAGAGGTGGGCAACTTCTGAGTCAAAACATCTGGAGGGCCACCGCTCCCACCATCCCTAGCCAGCATAGCTAATAGTGATGGTCCCTGTGAGTTGTAGTCAAAACATCTGGAGGGCCATAGGTAGCCGACCCACACAATAGAGGATTTAAATAGCATCCCTCAATAAAGTGCCTTTCTTTCAAACAACTCCAGGAGCCCAGCAGATGGGGGAAATGTTTTGTTTAAATTTAAAAAATTAAATTATAGCCCATTTAACCCAAATATATTGCAGTTATTCGTTTTATCCACACACAACCTTCACATCTCTCTCCACATCCCTTTCAACAGCAGTGCGGCTGTGCTTTGACTAGCTCTAGAGAGCATTGCCTGCAGTCAAAAGAGGATACAGGACTGTTTGGTGCCTACCTCACCTGGGTTGCAATGCAGGCGACATCTGCTGAGCGAGCAAGGCCTATTTGAGATGATGCGCTGCCATCTGCAGGACTGCTTGTGCATGCGATTATCATAATCTCGATGGCTTGCAGATCTAACCATCAGGATGTGGCCATGGTTTTATGCTGCCTGATAGTTCATAGAAGGTTAATATCAGCTTGTAGCACCATCCGGCACATTTTCCTCCTTGAACATGCTCAGGAAGTGTACATAAGAAGCAAGTGGTGAAAATCCCTCTACGGTGCAACTTTAGATGCAATGGTAGTTCTGCCCCTGGAGGCAACATTGACACCCCAGGCTTTAAGGAGGGGAGAGACCTTTTGTGCTTACAATGCTGGCCAGGAGTGGGAAGCAGACCCAGTTGCCAGAACCTTATGTCCTGGCTTGATGGTCAAATACTGAAGGTGTGTTGTTAGCCTGTTTCAAATGCAACAAAAATCAACTTTTGTCTAAAGTAGGGTGCAGAACTTAAGCCCTAGGGTCCCAATCCTGGCTTCAGGGGTTGCTTAGATGGACATGCCCCCAGCCCATAGACTGGAATGCCTCTGGTAGGGTTAGTTACGGGACAGTATAAGTTTTAAGCTAAAATATGTGGGTATTTTGGCCTGCCCCTTTTGCATTCACTTCTGCCCATCATGGGTAGCCCTTCCTTTGACATGAAATTCAGTCCTCTGCCTGAAAGCAGTTCAACATCCCTGATCTCTAAGCTCTGGGCCCTTCTTTAATTAATAAAAAAGGAACAGGATTTATATTCAGATTAAGATACATTTCCAGTGTTCTCCCTCTCCCCCCACAGTACAAAGTTGGATACATTTGGAAGCATAATGGAGCAGTCAGATTGGAGATAAGAGTGTCTTAAGGTGCAATCTGACAAATACTTTGGAAACTGCTTTAGGCTTGATTTTCTTGCATCTTGATTAATGGAGTTCCCACTAAGCTGAGCACGGACAGCACTGTGCCAATAATATAAAAGGAAATGAAAGGAGATGGAATAGAAAGAGAAATGAATGTGACTGATTTCTATTTTTTGGCTCACCCACAAACTCTAGAATTTAACTGCAGTTCGGCTGCTCTGCTATTATTGCACAATAAATGGGGCTTGACGTTTCCTGCCCAATTTAGAAAAGGGGACAAACTGTGGATGTGCCTATCAGCCCTCCGGATATTTCCCAGAGACCTGTATAGCCACATGCTTCTTGGTCGGTTTGCATCCCAGCTCCAAAATATCACAATGGCTAACTGTGCGGTGGTCCCCGAGCACTTGAGAGACTATATATAGAAAGTGGTTTCAACGCTGCTGCAATGCAGTCAGGAGAGAAGTGGAACACTGCTATCTAGCTAAGCACCGAGGTGAAGTGGAGGCTATTATAAAGAGATCTCTTGATCACATCATGCAACATGGTTTTAGAGAAGCTCTCATATTGCTCTACATTAAAAATTCAGCCAGGATTCCTTGAGCTTTAGAAAAAAATCCTTTGTATTAAAACATCAATTAAGATCTGTAGGAACGGCTGCCCTTAGTATAGATCCACTGATCACGGAAAGTGCCCTTCGGGCTGTTTTCTGCTATGCCGACAGAACTTGCTTGGAGGATAGGCACTTACAGTGACCAGCCTTCATCTTCAAACCAGGTGGTCATAGATCAGAAATTACAGAACCTGACATTTCCAGTATCAAGTTGCTGGCCCTCATGATAATAAATTTAAACTGCATACAATTCAAGAATATTTGCCCTTTGAGTAAACAACACGGGAATGCTCTGAAAGCATTTGGCACTATAAGAAAATACCTTCTAATTAGTCAACATGTAGTGGACACATGATCGGATATGTGCAGGCTGAACCTCTGCACATTTATTCATAAGTAAGTCCAGATTTCAGTGATGGCTTACTCCCAAATAAGTAAGCACAATATTTTTTAACATTGACAATAAGAAAAGGTTTGCTGGTTAAATTTGTCAAGGTACTATTTAAAAAGAGACCAAAAATCCAGAAAGAAGAAATAAAGGATGCATAAACTTTAGACTTCTGACTCATGACTTTAGAATTGTAGGATTGGATGGAAACCAAGTATTAGCTAATCTACCAGAACTGTGACAGGATTTTGCAAACTCAGAACATTCCTAATATATTGATTTCTATATATCACAGTACTGGAAAAAATGTTAAAAATAGCTTGACTTTAGTGTTTGAGCATGTAAAAAGCACACACTGCACTTTTCACTCCTTCAAGATGAATGAATGCATGCTGGTGTCTGAATGAGTGCCTACTGCAGTGTGAGTGATTTGCTAAATTTCATAGTTGGGCCATTTTTCATCGTGGCACTATCAAATAATTCCTCCTCTTACACAACTAATAAAAGTACAGGAGCATATACTCTTTTCCTTTTCTCCTTTGCATCAGGTCACCATAAGTGTTCCAAAAGCAAGAGCTTTTGGAAAAGAACTGTGAGAAGTTGTGAGGAGTCCTGCTAAAAGTATTCCAGCCAGCAAAAGACCTTCCCTTGCATACACTGGAATCAGGAAACAAGCTAGGAAGATGGTCAGACTGTAAGATGATAAGGGAGTGAAGAGAAAGAACCTTGGATCATGAGGACATAATCCATTGCATATAAATAGATTATCTCTGAGCAATGTGCATGCCCTTACAAATGGAGCAAAAGTTGGGAAAGGGTTACAGTGATTAGGGAATTCTGTATTGGGGAATTCTGAACAACATGGATGCTCGTCCAAGTCACTGAACCTCTGCAGCAATTAGAAGTTGGCTCCTGGCTGCCTGATCATCGCTTCCATCCCTTCTGGTCAGCCCTCCCCGCTGCCAGAATGGCTTCTGTCGGGCAAGTAAAGTAGTGGTGGAGGTCCATTGCTGAACTGATCACATCCATCACCTTTGGCAGCTGAATTCTGAGGAGGGAGCAAATCCCTCTTCCCACTGCAATCTCACTCATTCTCCCTTCAAATCTGCTCTGGAGCATCTGCAGAGGAGGGGATATGGGAAACTCCATTTGTGTGTGTCTGCTTGCAAAGCACTGGATTATTATTATTATTATTATTATTATTATTATTATTTCTATGCCGCCCCTTGCCGAAGCCTCGGGGCGATTTATTGGTGAGGGAACACACTGTGTATGTGAAACATGCAGCCACATGTGGTTTTCAGAGCTCTCCCCTGTAACCAGCCAGTGCCCTAATGCCCCCATCTCCCTCTCCCATTAATGATTTAGCTGTTATTATTATGTGCTACCAAGTTTTCTCCAGCTTAGTGACCCTGTGAATGGATATGCTCCAAATTGTCCCATCCCTGACAACACTGCTGAGCTCTGGCTTCTTTAATGGAATCAATCCATCTCATATTTAGTCATCTTCTTCTGCCTGTGACTTTCCCTGTCTTCACCAGGGAGCCTTGCCTTTTCACAATGCGCTTGAAATATGACAGCCTCGGTTTCATCATTTTTATTTCCAGTGGAAGTTCTGTGTTTATTCGATCTAAGACCTACTGGTTCGTCTCTCTGTTGATCCATGGCATGCACAAAGCTCTCCTCCAGCAGCATGTTTCAAATGCATCCATTTTCTTCTGTTAGCTTTCTTCACTGTCCAGCTTTCACACACATACCTACTGATTGGGAATACAACAGTGTAGATGATCTTATTTATTTTTTATTATTTATTTATTAAAACATTTTTATGCCGCCCCATTCGCCGAGGCCTCGGGGCGGCTTACAACAATAAATTACAATAAATATAAACATTAAAAATACAAAAAATACAAATCTTGGCCTTGCTCTCCAGTGAAACATCCCTATATTGGATTATTTTTTTCTAGCTCCTTCATTGCTGCCCTTCTAAGCCTCGGTCTTCTTCAAATTTTTGGCTGCAGTCTCCCCTTGAACTGATGACTGAGCCAAGGCATGCAAGATCTTTCACAATTTCAGTTTCTTCATTGTTGACATTATAATTGCATAATTCTTCTGTACTCATTATTTTTGTTTGCCTGGTGTACAGCTGCTGTCCTGCTTTTCACTTTCTTCTTTCACTTTCATCAGATCATTTCAATTCATTGCGACTTTCTGCCAGTAATATGGTATTATCTGCGTATCTTAAATGATTGATGTATCTTCTGCCAAGTTTCACTCTTCCTCTGAACCTAATCCATCTTTCCTGCATACAGATTGAACAGATGGGGAGCTAAAACACACCCTTGTTTAATGACTTTGCCTATAGAAATCAATTAGTTTCTCCATAGTTTGTTCTAACTGCAGTTTTTTGTCCACAACATAGGTAATACATCAGGACAATCAAGTGCTAAAGCAAACCCTTTTTAAAAGAAGGATTCATAGCTTCTCGTGATGCACACAGTCACTAATGATTACCGAGAAAGCTTTCTTCTGCCTGGAGAAAATGCAAAGGGCAATCTAGTCTGCACCAGCAGCGGGCGCCCTCTGAGCCACCATCGCATGTTGTTTTGAGGCACAAAATGTTGCCCTACCGCTCTGTACAGGCTCAAATGCACTTTCAGCAGTTTTTCAGACTGAACAAGTTCTCCGTCCCTTTGCCCCTTGTTTCAGAGTTGGTGGAATGATTCCCACAAAACCAAACATACTCTGCAATTAGTAGGTTGTCTGCTTTTAAACACTTTTTGAACGTGTTGGTCAGAAACAACTGCTATTCCAGCTGCAGAAAAATGACGTTTAATAAATGAATCATGGGATACACCCACCCGACCTGCACCCCAAGCGCCCAGAAGCCAGAATCTTTCATTTTTCCAAACGCGAGAGAGGGACTATTTCTCGTGGCGTAGATTTGTCCTGGCGTGGCAGTTCCGAAACAGAGCGCGGAGGATGTTGCGATGACCTCCTAGCAACCACAAACGCTGAAGTACATCAATCAAACGGCCGGTGATGTAAACAAAAGCACATGGGCAGCTAGAGCGGCGAATCCTGGAACGGGGCGGTTTGTCTCGTAACCAATAGAATGTCAGGACTCGAAGCCAGGCTCGATTGTGACGGCAGAGACGGCTCCCTTCGGCGCTCGGCTGAGGGTCGCCTGCTCTGCTGCGAGTCGAAGTTGGGGAGGAGCTTGGGACAGATGCCCCAGCGCAGTAAAGAGGGAGTGAGCTAACGTTGCTTCGGCCTACCGGAGCTTTAAAGGAGCTCTTTAAATAAGCGTCGCTCATTTGGAAAGAAAAGGGATGGAAATGGAGCAAAATCACATTAATAATCCCCAAGGAGCTGCTGTTTAGCGAAACGTTGATGAAGTGAGCTAGCTCACTCGTCTGCTCCAAGAGCATCTTTCTTGTGAAGAAGGAAAATATTATATTGAATTATACTTTCTGTGGTTAATATGAGCACAGATCTATATATTTCTTAAAAACAGATTTTATTTTTTTACATTAGGCAAGCAATTGTCACCCTTAAGGAAATTGTTCTGAACGGGTGCAAAAATGTCTGTCAAAGTCACCTTGTATGAGTTGGCAGACCTCTCCATTGGGACGCCAGAGATTGGTGTTGTTAATTTTAATGCCCTCCATGCCCTTCTCCATGCCATCCTGAAGCACTTCAACATTCAAGAAATTAAAGCGGATGTCAAGGTGGATAAAGGCCCACCATCCAAACCAGAAATGCTGGCTGCTGCAGTTGGTGATCTATTAGCAGAAGAGGCGTTGCGGAAGGAGAAAGGGGACAAGGGAGGTGCACTGGGTGAAGATGCAGATTCCCGACTTGCTGACTTGGAAAAAAAACTGTTTCTGCTGGATGCTAATCTCCATGGCATGGAAGATAAGGTCAATGGGATAGAAGACCAAGTTCAAGGAGTCCAAGATCAGGTTCAGGGGGTCCAGGATAAGGTCCAGGGAGTGCAAGACAAAGTGAAAGGAATGGGGAAACAGCTCAAAAGCTTCGAACAGCAGGTTGCTGGCCTGGAGAAACTGCCTTCCGGAACCGAATTGCTGGAGAAGGCCAGGAGCGGCTCTGGCAGTGCTGTGGCTGACATGTGGCAAATGATGCAAATGCAGAAAAAGGTGGAAGCCAATGAGAACGGCATCAATCAGGTATGTGGACTTCAGCAACATGCCACTTGATACAGAGATTCGCCAAAATCAGATGAAGCATTTGCTCTAATAGTAGTTCTTGTTTGCATTGAAATCATTTATTTATTTCAAACATTTGTATCCCGTCCTTCTGTGCAAGCGCTCAGGACGGCTTACATAGTATAAAATTAAAATACAATAATAAAACTACAATTATTAACATATAAAACTGAATATAAACTAAAAAGAAAAAATAGAAAATTTCATTTATTCATATTTCAGTCTAGGGATGCCTCATCTTGTGGGAAGTATTTAAGAAAAGGATTCACTATGTTTCAGATCTGACTTCATATACAAGCAAATTCTGGCCCTCCAGATTTTTTGTCTACTTCTCCTGTCAGCCCTAACCAGCAAAGCCATCAGAGAGGTAGACAAAAAAAAAAAAAAAAACCTGTATCAGGGAGTTGGAGGATAATGCATCAGAAAGGCCACAGGTTAGCCACTCTTCCTTATCTTATTCCTAGGAAACACTTCAAGAGCACCTTTAGTTACTATAAGAAATAACAGAATAACTACAACAAATGTTACCAGAGTGTTCTAAATATATTTATAGGCTAAAACAAGAGTAGACCATTGAACCTTGTGGTGATTCTGGCCTTCCCACTCCCAGCTGTCTGGTATGATAACCTTTTGTGATTAATAGTTGCTTCATACTAAGGTTCACTATCTTTGAGATCAGGACTGTATTCCTGTGTTACAAGCCAGTTACCTTGTGCCCTATTCTCCCCCAGCACTCTTAACATGCTTTCCTCACTTCCTCAGAAAAACATGCAAAATGTGACATGAAGGAATCCAACCAAGGTATCACATCTCTAGATGTACAAATACATTCTGCTAGGCAGGTAGCTGGGAAGCCGCTACAAGTGCGTTGGCGTGTACAGTTAGTGTTTCAAGACCTACTGCCAAAGCCTTCTAGAGTAGTCTTTCAGCATCACTCTCCTTTCCATAAATGAAAAAATAATGGCCATCCTCAGACAGTAACTGGAAAAGAGCGAGTACAAAATTATAAAATACATTCAAAATCATCGCAATGTCAGCAGTTGTCATCTACATAAGCATGGTGATGGCCATCATTGTCTGAGGCAAGGAACTGTCTCAGAGGCTCCCAAGAGGCGAGACCCCATGGCTCCCATCCAGTGAGAATTCATTGATATTGGACCAGGATTGTATTTGAATTTCAGTTATTGAAAAACTGAAATTAGTTCTTATTATAACCTTGTCATACATGATTTTTTTCCCGCAGCTTTGTTGTGTTGGCTGCTTTTAAAAGCAAGAGGTAGGTTAAATCCCGATTCCTGATATCTTTTTGTTTAGCAGACAAATTAGCGAGAAAGCCCAGATCTCTGCTTTTAAGTCAAAGGGAAGATATTTTCATATTGCTTAAGAGGCTATCATGCCTTTGTTTTATTCTCCTCTGCAAATGATCTGGATGCACATTCCTGACATCAGTTCTCTTTTTTGTCCTAAATTTTCCATTCTCCATTTCTGAAGCACTGTGATTCTAGAGCTTCTGTGAAAGTTCTTGGAGCACCTGAAGCTTCACTTGTTTCCCTCCCTAGAGATGACACATCCTGGAATAAGGAACAGAGGCATAAAACACTTTCCCCCATGGAATGACTTAACATAACTTTGTGAAAATTCACTTTGCCATTTACTTAACCGAGTCTTTGAATTATGATCAATATCAATATTATTAACTGAAGACTATCCATATTTGGCATGGAAAGACTATTAAGATTTGATAGAAGAAAGCAATATGGCTACAGTTAGTTTAACAAGAACAGCACAGAGCCTCGTGGCACCTTAAAGACAGATAAATGTATTATGGCATAAACTTTTGTGGACTAGTCCACATCATCAGATACCTGAAATTTGACTGATCCTGAGTACCTGATTCTGAAGTGAGGTACGTATGTATGCATATAGACCCACATGTGGTTGTGGTGGGTGGGAAGCTAACAGTCAAATAGAAAGAAACAAGTTTAGATGGTGATAGTTATTAACAGTGCACATTCACAAAAAAAATACAAACATTACTGATATACCAACACACACACCCCTGAGATATATTTATCATGCGGATTTATGGACAAGTGACCCCTGTGAAGTCCTACCTGTCTTCCCTTCTGGAAACTGCTGACTTCCTATTAATTGAACTTTAGGAAGGCAGAATTTATCCAGTCTGCTTCATACCTTCTTCAGATTCAGTTCAGCATGGTATTTTATTGAAACTTATTCTTGTTTACTTCATTATATTTTGAATACTTCATACCTAGGTCATTAGATTAAATTAACTTACTTCTATGAATATTTCTTTAAAGCACTGAATTATAAATGTGCTGTGGTTTCATTTACTTATTATCCATAAATAGTTACATCTGATGGGTAGATGCTAAAACTTCAGTTGGATTTACAAAATAGGGAGTTATTCTGTTGCCCCTAGATAACATCTGAGGAGCCATAGTATTTTTTCATGTCCAGATCCGAGGCCAGAGACTGAGAGTGCTGGGAGCTGTAGAAATTTTTCCTGCCCAAACATAGATAGGATTGTACCTTAGATTATTTCAAGCTTTTTTAACCAAACAGTATACTTATTGAAAGTATTGTGATTAACATTTGATTAAGCAGTACATCTCTGTTCAAAGCACACAAACTAGAATTAGAATCAATTCCATTGTTTCCTGTTTCCTTTAACACAGGCCCTCAAAGGGTATAAACTGAGTTTGAAGAGGCATGCTAGCAACTAATTTTTCAAATTTCCCTCTTACATTTACAAAACCATTTGTGCTACCTCTGTCATTTCTTCTAGGATGCCTTGTGGGTGTAATCCTATGCATGTTTAGCCAGCAAAAAGGCCCTACAGCTCTCAGCATTCCCCAGCCAGTCATTTTGGTTGAGGAATGCTGGGAGATGAAAGACTTTTTCCATCTAAACATTTGTGCATAGGCTTGGGCCCTTAGGCTGTAGGGAAATGGAAGGGAAGTGCTTATTTTCCTGGCAATCTGAAAAATCTAGAGAATTTGTTACTTACATAAGTCAGGAGCTGATGAAACAAAGTTAAAGGCACATGGGCCAACATGAAAAACTGCCAAGGTGTTGCTGAGACCGTGTGCCCCCACCCCAGATCTTCCTTTTGTTAGAACTGGTGAACCAGAGGCAGTTCAGCTGGTGAACTATGAGGTATGCCAAGAATGGCTCCCAGCAGAGAGGGGTTTGCGACAGGCATCTGCTGGAACAGTTGCCATACCTTGCATTCCCGAAGAAGTTTCCATTAGTTCTAGAGACTCTGCCTTGCATGAATGCACCAGTGAACCGAACAGGCTCCACTCCTCTCGCTTTTGGGAAGCTGATGTATTCCTGTGTGTGCTAAGATCCCAGCACTGCACGCTGGGCATGTAGGAGGAAATTCCCCTGCTATGTGTTGAGGGGCCAACTCTCAATAGCAGAGTGAGGCAGCTCTTCACACCTGTTCCTTGTGAACTCCCCCAGCAGGTATTGGTGGTGCCATCCTGCTACAGCTGTTGAAGTAAGTTCCAACAGCCAGCCCAGCCGGCTTCAATATGTAGAATGGGGGGCATCTTATTCTTCACTTTAAGAAGCTGGGGAGAACCTGTTGTTAAGAAGCTATCTCCTCATCCATACCCAGATGTCAGAATCAGCCTTCTAGTTGGTTACATCTGGTCATCTCCAGTGTAGTAGACCCAGGTCTTTCTTGTAATGAATGTAGCTGAACCTTCTTCAACCTGATGTGCTCCAGATGTGGTGGATGTGAATTCCCATCAACCCCAGCCCACAGAGCTAACGTCCAAGCAGATCAGGAAAGCCTGGAGGTGTAGTTCAAGCCACCTGGAGAACACCAGGTTGGGAAAGGCACAGCTGGTGCAGAGTTTTGCACCTGAGCTTACGTGATCTGGTTAAAATCCTTGCTTGGGTGAAGAAAGGGGTAACTGAAGCATGGACAGCCTTGGGTCAGTCACCATCCCTAATCCTATGTTTGTCTACTTAGATTAAGTCCCATTGAGTTCCACAGGACTTGCATGCAATTCACCCAAGCAAGTGGGAATGGCATTGCAGTCTGAGTCTTGGTTCCCGGCTTGTGGGAGGATATAGCATTGGCCCACTTTGCAGGGCTTTCAAGTGGGCAAGCAAGATGCAGACTGAAAACAGCCCTTACTCTGTGGAAAGATGTAAATGGAACATATTGAAAACTATTATAGATGCAAAGGAGGCATGAACAACAAGGCCGAATCTGTGCAAAACAGCCTGTGGGTTAATGAATGGAGAAGGCTCATGTCCACCAGCTTCTACCAAAAGCTTGCAAGGGCAAGTCTGCACTTGATTCTTTAGTGAGGTGTCTGCTGCTCTAATTTTTAACTACCTCCTGAGTCATAAGGGCACTGAAGAGGGAAACAGAAAGTACTAATTTAACTTTTGGACCAATATTTCATCAAGCTGGCACCTTGGTTGTACAGCCATGCCAGAACAGCATGCCCTAACCAGTCATGCTAGCTGGGAGTAGAAGTTAATTGTATCTGGAAGGGCACCAGCTTGGCGAAGACTGATCCACATCAATTGAAATAGCTGGTTCTGGGTCTCCTACTCGGAGAGGCTTCCCCTCAGGCTAGATAGATGTTTGATCATTCCTTTCAGTAGTTCAGTTGTAGCCTAGGGAAGAAGGCCCAAATTTTCAGCAGTGGACAATGGGCATCCAAGCACCACACCGTGTGTATGACTATGTTTGGGGAACATTGCTGAGAACATGCATAGCAGTCACATGTGATGGATTTGTTTATTTTTATGGCCACCATGAGAACTAGAAAGCTGACTGTGCACTTTACCTACCCACATGTTCTGTTAAAGTTAGGTCTGCCCAGGCTGCCCAGCTAAAAAATATACTTGCTGGGCATAGCCAGGTGACTGTTGCAGAATTCAGGCATTTGGATTCCCCCCAGGGGCCTGACGAGGGTTGCACCTGTGCTACCTCCAAGTTAGGAGGAGTGGCTTGGGCAAGGTGCGGGTGGGGCGGGGCTTCTCTAACAGCACCTTCCTCCTCCTCTTCATTGGCTTGCTCACCTGTTGCCCCTGCTCATTCATTGCTCCCCCTCTGGGCCTGACACCCAACTTCTCCCAGGAGGAGAGGCTGGGACTTCTTTCGCTTGCTGAGCGCTACCCCTGCTTGTTCAGAGAGGGCAGGTGAATTGGCAGCGGCAGCAAGAGCCAGAAGGCTCCAGGGATCAGACATGGCCCCTCCTGGTGCGTAGGCCTTGGCAGGTACCCGACAGCACCAACTTCTGATGCCAACCCTGGAGGGCAGCTTGACCAAAGAAGAGCGGAAGGCAAACCACTAGATGCTGGCTGGTACACGATTCTACAGTTGCTTCTTTGTCTGTTATTACATTTTTATCCAACATTTTCCCACTTTGCAAAGAGCCCAAGGCAGCTTGCTTGGTCCTCCTCCATTTAATCCTCACAACAGCTCTGTGAGGAAGTTAGGCTGAGACTCGGCGACTAGCCTGTCAGCACCATCCTTCCATCCATCCATCATTCATTTCATTTTTGTACCACCCAACAGCCACAGTCCCAAGTGGGGACTAAAACCTGGGTCTTTTGAACCCCAGTCCAACACCCTAACCATCACACCACACTGGGTCTCAGTTGTTTAAACATCTGGACTGTTCTGTAATATCTTCTAATTCAATGGTTAAAAATTAGACTTCTTAGCCATTGCTGAAGGGCTGGTTTATGTTTCCTTTTTGAGCTAGGTTGGTGCTGTTCCTCCCTCTTCTCCCCATTTAGGTGCCGTTGCCGTACCCCAGCACAGCCTCCCCTGCCCCAGCGACTTTGCAGCAAGTGCGTGAGGATGGGGAGTGCTGAGATCTGGTTGTGGGGCTCTCATGCCATGTCTGTGTTGGTCCTCAGAGATCTTAGGAAAACCAGGGGCTTCTGTAAGCTGGAAATCATCTTTAGGCCAACATTTAGAGGAGTCCATGTAGTTGTGCCTCCACCGACCTCTTTTTCTCTCCCTCCTTGTATGGCAGGCCATGTCTCTGCTGCAGGATTTGTTGGACGAGACCGGCAACATGAAGTCGGCCACAGGCAACTTGGAGGATGAAGTACAAAAAATTAAGGAGCACTTAGCCTTGGTAAAGGACACCATGCCTCATGTTTCCTTCTGTCTAATTGCTTCCCATTGGGTCCACCTAACCTCTGGGAGCTCACTGGGCCAAAAAAAAGGTCATGGTAATGTTGTTTTTGCTTTGCTCTTCTATTTCATATGCCTCCTGGTTTCTGTATGATAGAATTAATTAATTTGTGAGTATGTGTTTTGTTTTTCTATGGGCTTTGGGTGGCTATATTTTTGAGCAAAAATTAAGAGGTAGCTTAGAACACTGATTTTCCTTAAAGCAAATGGACAATAGGAAGCTTTAGTTTATGACTTTCAAGATAGTATCACAAACAATTAGCTGTGCTGGCTATGGCTGATGGGAGCTGTAGGCCAGAATGTCTGGAGGGCCACAAGTTGCCCTCTTGGTGTACAGTAAACATGTGGCTTTGAAACTGAAAGAAACTGGTTGGATTAGGGCCAGACTGCTGGTGATGTTGATTACTTTGCCCCTGAATGCACCATTTCTCTTTTAGAATTAACACAGGAAGTAGGAGTGGGCTGGATCCAGACCCTGACTTGGGGGGTGATCGGGAGGTATCCGTATTATGCGCTCTATGCTGGCAATGTTCATCTGGGGGTGGGGAGAGAGTTCCTCCTGAATCCAGTGGAAGATTTCCCCTGTGCAATTTGCAGGTGCAGGACAGGAAGTGACCTGGTCCTGGGCTGGAACAGGGATCCAAGGCTGAAGCATCTCAGAGCTCCTGCTGGGTTGGCCACTCGGTTAAAGAAATCAGACTTGATTAATCACATGAACTCTGAACAATTAGTCAATAAATAAGTGATGGAATCTGCGTACATTAACTGAATAAAACAGTACCTGTGGAGGGTGGGGGGAGGGGAAAGAATTATTTATGTTTTATTCTGAGATAATGCCCAGCAGGGTCCCTGTGGATACAATCTCAGGAGCGGTGTTCCCTCCTCTGCAAGAGGAAGACAGGAGGGGTGCTTCTTTCTTCCTTCTCCAACCTGTGCCTGCCCTTTTGACATATTGGACTGCAGCTAATGATTAAACTGTCTGGGAATGATGGGAATTGCAGTCCCTAGAGGGCACTAGGTTGGAGAAAGTTGGCTTATTCTAAGAAGATGCCTGCCACTCAAGTTTGCAAGAAGTTCTGTTAAAAATAATTAAGACACACACACATGCGCACCGTATTGTGCAGTTAATCAGGCCACCTTTTAGATCAGCGCCAACATTTTAATTGATTCAAGCAGTGTTACAGCCCTCGGAAATCTTAACACAGTCCTACCCCTGATCCAAACTCTGGAGAACCCGAGAGTAATAAGATCCCCTCACTCTCTGGAGACAATTAGCATACCAAGGGGATACCTTCTTGCTATAGTAAGTTATGGCTTGCTAAAGAAACATCTGTATTCACCCATATTCTGCAGATCTTGAGGTTATTTGTTCGCCTTTCCTGTCTGCACATTTTGCTGGATGCTGCAGTATTGGATAAATCTGTTTCAATGTGGTGTCTGCTCCATCCTCTATAGAAAAGGAAGTGGGGTCTGATTTAATAAAGGGGAAATGGGGTGGAAGAATGGCTCATGCCAACACTTTTCCCCATCTACTGCTTACCTTCCTATGCTCCCCAGTGGGGGTCACTTCCAGTATCAGAAATGAGGTGGGAAGAGAATCATTTCAGGAGAAAGACTGCAGGTAAGCAACAGGGCCCTAAATAACGAACATGTCTTTTGTTCATTATTTAGATTCCTGCATTTAAAGGGATTGGTTGACTGCTTTTGTGCCTTGTTTGGCCTTTTACATTTCTGGTTTTGCAGAACAGAGATGCTTGGGTCAAGTTGTAGAATGCCCTGAGCCTAGCTGTAACCCCAGAGGTATGAGAAGTCACTCTGGCCTTTGTTAATCCAAGAGGCCGCATTGCAGCTTTGTTGTGTCATCCTGTGTATTTTTGAACAATATTGAATACATAAATTCACATCTAGTGGCGCTCTCTTGAGAGCAGTTCAGCTCTCCAGTGCAGCTTTTGTTTTCTTGTTCTCTAGGAAACCATATGCATATATTCCTTTCCCTACAGGCTTGTATGCCAGGCTTGTTTGCTGTGAATTGGCCATCCAGAAGGGTGTTTGGGGGTTGCCCTTGTTTTGATAAGATTTTTTCCCCAGGCACTTCATTTCTTGGAGGCAAACCAGGTGACATGACTAAGTGGAGACAAGATAAAGGTATATAAAGGTGTGTGGAGAAAGTGGATAGTAGACATCTTTCCCCCTCTCCAATAGTACTAGAACCTGGGGTCATCCCATGATAGGTGAGAGATCCAGAAATAGAAAAGGAAACGCATCTTCATACAGCATAGTGAATTAGCTTCCACAAAACTAAAGGTAAGGTAAAGGTAAAGATTTCCCCTAGACATGAAGTCCAGTCATGCCTGACTCTTGGGGGCGGTGCTCATCTCCGTTTCCTAGCCGAGGGAGCCTGCGTTTGTCCGCAGACAGTCTCCATGGTCATAGGGCCGGCATGGCTAAACACCGAAGTGCACAGAGCGCTGTTACCTGCCCACTGAAGTGGTACCTTTTTATCTACTTGCACTTGCATGCTTTTGAACTGCAAGGTTGGCAGGAGCTGGGACGGAGCAACGGGAACTCACTCCGTTATGCAGATTCGAACCGACAATCTTTCGATCAACCAGCCCAGCAGCACAGTGGTTTAAACCACTGCGCCACCTGCATCCCTAGATGGCCTTACAGAGGCTTTAGACATATTCATGGTTAGGAAGGCTACAAATGGCTGCATTCTCACTCCAATGTCAGAGGTAGCGTACCTATTTATCTCTGAGGAATATGGCAGGAAGGTGCTGTTGCACTCATGTCTGGCTTGTGGGTTTCCTGTAGACCATGGGCCCTCAAACTATAGCCCGCGGGACGGATCCAGCCCACCATGGCCTTCCATCTATCCCGCACCGCTGTTACCCGCCTGTGCGCTTGCTGTGCACGTGGGGAGGTGGTGGCTCGCTCGCTCGGAGATGGTTTTGGACTCGCTGGGAGATCTCCGAGCGAGTGAGCCGCCGCCGCCTGGTGCATGCCCCCAGGCACTCCCGCCTCACTGGCCCACAAGGGTCACTGCAGCCTTTCAACTGGCCCCCTGTTCCAAAAGTTTCAGGACCCCTGCTGTAGACGGTTGGCTGACCACTGTGTGAACGAGATGCTGGACTAGATGGACCCTTGATCTGATCCAGCAGGGCTCTGCTTTACATTCCCATGGATCCTGAAAGTGTGGGGAAATGGGCTTAACTTCACTATACCCCTAATGCAAGTTTAGGATCTGCTTGCACTCACATCTTATCCCCAGTGTGCATTTTCCCTCCATTCCACAGATAGACCCCCGGGGGTTTGATGATCGCCTGCAGTCTTGCTTAAGTGACCAGCTGAGCTTGGATCACGATGTGGTATGTTCCTGCAGTTTTTCTTTTCCCAACCTGTGAACAGTCTGTGTGCAGATCACAAACAACTCCCTTCTCCCCTTTTAGCAGTCCTCGGGGAATATCACGATAGTGGTCACTGGACCAGTCTGGAGCATGTTGTTTCTGCATTGTGGGGAGCCCAGCTGGACACAGGTGTCCCTCTTGTTTATTTTGTGTCCTCCCAAGCCTTCTGCTGATCCACCAGGTGCATAACTTAGGAATCTGCCATGCAGATGCACCTTCAGTGGCTTGTGGAGACAGTGCTCACCAGTGCCTCTGTGAAGGATAAGGCCACTAGTCTTGTGGGCCACGGTGGGAACAGAATGAAGGGTTAGATAGGCCTTGGATCTCTTTCAGCACAGCTCACTTCTTATGTTCATATGACCCCACTCACATGCGGCTTGTGGGACAGACTGTATGGAATATGCACACTGAGCTCCCCCATGTAGCGGTCTCGCCACGCTGGCCTTAAAATAACATGATTGTTTTCTGCTTTAATGTACTCTCCAAATATTGGCCGGAGAATTTCTGAACCGCCTCAGAATCCAAAATCCTTCATGGAGGTGAGTGCAATGGTCTCACTAGCATTTCTGTGCGGAAGAAATGGTGACTTTCTGTTGTTTTTTTGTTTCTCTCCAGAAAGATTTAGAGAAAAGACTAAGCCTATTTCCTTCTCCTGAGGAAATGAACAATATGGTACGGTGGGAAGTCCTTGAGGATGTTCTTGTAAAAGGGAAGATAAGCCCAACTCCGGTGGGTAGAATTCTTCAAACCAAATGAGAAAAACTTTGCATACGGTAATTTGCTGCAGGTACTTCTGTGCTGATTGTCTACAGTGCAGGGTGCCCAAAGTGGCTCACAGTGTTAATTTATCAAAACACCTGCCACTTTGGAAAAAAACGGTTTTACAGAACTTATTGGGCATATTTGTGTTCTATTTATTTATGTATTCCACATTTTTAATTGTTAATATATTTCTAAGGGGAGACCTGTCTTGCTATGAACCCGCCTGGCTATTTAATGCTATAGGAGAGGGCCATTTGAATGGCAGAATCCTAATGGCTGGGTATGCACAGAAAGGCTTTCTCCTGTTTTTTCCTGAGCTAGAGAAATGTACTACCTCAAGAATTACCGTTGATCCCGATTCTCTTGGCCTTTAGAAAGCAGTATAAGGATGCATCTTCTCAATGAAACTTTTTGAAATGTGGCATGTTTAAATGTCTTTATGTGGGCAGTATTCAGTGGCAACCAACCATGAGGAGCCAATCTCAACAGCTAGGATTTGTTTGAGGGAGCTCTGCTGACAATGCCCCCTTTCCACTTGTTTTTGGAACTTGCCCCCAGATGCTCTAACTTGCTGCTGCAGATACAGTGTGCAACGGAATCAGTGGGGCTGGCCACACACGGAAAGGAAGCAGCTGTGGGCCCTGCACACTCAAAAGGCAGGACTGGATGCTGCCTGTAGTGATTATTGTTGCAGAGTTTATTGTTTAAACTGCTTGATGGCTTTTTAGCCAAGAATATTAGTATCAATATTAGTCTCTGCACAGACCCCTATATATTGTAAACCTCATTCCTACACATCCTTTTCACTCTGGCCCCACATCTTCATTGTGTACAAAAAGCATTTTCTATTGTTGCATTGTAGAGTACCTTTCTTCAACATTTCATAGACAGCATTAAATTGGTCAGATTGATGTTGAATTTGGGCTCATTTCTAGAATTTGAAAGATGAAAGATTGGTGAAATGGGGTCACCATCAAATGAAATGATGCCTGTCAACCTGAATTTGCTGGATAGTGTACAAAACTGAGACTGATTCACAGTATTAAAATACAATATAATGATTAAGTGCACCAAAGGAGGGGGAACAGCAGCAGCAGCTTCTGCTGCTCCAAAAACCATTTTTTCTGCCATTGGAAACATGAGATGAAATAGCAGCTCAGAGTTTTAAAAAGCTTTTTATATTTAAAAAGGCTCAATAAACAAACAGGCCTTCATCTGGGAACAAGTGAAACAAAAATGATAACATGATAAAAGTCATAACCAGCTCATGTAGCCTGCTTGGTGATGGACATGACTGTATCTGACAGATTTGTAACTAGTTTTTCAACCATTCTTTCATCTGGACTAGTCAAAAGAGGATAATAACTTGCTATTTCATATCCGAATGCTATTGCAGGGTAGAAGTACCTGTCAGAGTTTCAGGGACTCCTGCTTTACCCAGACAATATCAGTATTGAAATGGAATTCTCAAATCTGCCCTGGGGTACTGTGACAGGTAGAACATTATGTCTTGTGAACAATCACACTTCATGAGTTTGTATATTCTTCCTACCAAGCAAGGAAGATAGTGAAACGTCACAGTCATGTGGAATTCTGTGAACCATGGGGGAACAGCCAAGTCCCAGAGAAGATACATCTTGCCTTTCAGTATCCTACTGTCTTTGAGGATACCTCAGGGCTAACCCCTTTCCCCCTGAGGTACCCTTAACTTAAACCAGAACAGCTCTTGGACACCCATTTAGCAGTAACAGCTGAAGCATCATTAATGCTTTCCTTTCCATAGACCCACATGCAGCTAATGCCCCATGAGACTAGTTAGGGCAAACTGTGTAGCCACAGAGAACATTTATGTGTATAGGCAGGCATCTACCAAACAAACTGTGCTGTGATGCTACCATAGTTTCATCACTCAGGGTCATCTGTCCAAAGTACAGATCTGAAAACCATTCCTGTATTCTTGGAATGGCCTGTCGATTGACGGCTTACTCTTTGTTGACTGGTTGGCGCTCAGGCCCATTAGTGCCATTTTGTGGCCTGTGGCATGGGACTCCATGCCCTCTTTGCTCTGGGCAAGCTGCTTCATAATGTATCACAGAATTCACTAGACAGCATCCTGTGAACTTTTTAGGCTCCGTGTTAGTGGTTCAGAGGCAGAATTCATATGCAACCTCCCAAGTAGCCAGTCTTGGTTCGAATTCTGCCTTGTATTGAAGCATTGTCTTGGGTAGCCATTAGCAACCAGGAATTGCATCGCAGTGACTATAGGGCGCATGATTGCTGCATAAAGGCAGCACAGGCCGGCATCTGGTTTGCACAGGGTCAGCCTGCAGCCCCAGTGAGAAACCTCCAAGTAGGACATGGGGGCACTAGCCCCTCGCAGTTGTGTTGTTCAGCAACTGGTATTGAAAAACATTCCTCCTGCAATACTGGAGCTAATACACAGCCATCATGACTCTCGGCCATTGACAGCTTCCCCCCTATGCATTTTCCAATCCCCAAGGCCATCCACGTTAGCAACCCTCCCCGCATTTTGTGGTAGCAGATTCTGTACTTTAGCTATGTGCTTTGCGAAAAAGAAAAGGGAAAAACCTTCCTTCTGCCTCCCACCAGCCTGCTCCATGAGATGACTCTGCCTTCTAGTATCATGAGAGGGTGAAGGGAAGAAGCCTCCCCATCCACTTTCTCCACAGCATGCATAATTTCGCATACCTTTAGCATTCCCCACCCCACTCGCCTTGCATGGAGGAACAGAGCACAGCATCTCTTCTCTTTGCCCAGCCACCCACCCACCGATTATGCTGGGCAGACATTTTTCCACCATGCTTAGCACAGAAATATTCTAGGTCCTTCCTCTTCTAGCCCCCAGCAGGCTAATAAACAGAATTGCAGGTTAGTACCTTGTATGCTTATATGCAAAGATAAGTTGTGTGATCATCTGGGAAATTCAGCTTTTTCATCTGAGATGTATACCATTGTAGGAAATGTTTCTGATAAGGTGTGATTCATTTTCTGCATCAGAGTCTGGAAGAAATCATTTTAATGCAATGTTCCGCTTTGGTTTGTGGTTACTGATTACAACATTAGTTTCTTTGTCACTTAAGAATAGTTGCACAATGTTGGGAAGTACTGAAACAGAATGTTAATTCCCATACAGTTTATAACAGTCTGCAAACACCTTGAAAACACTGCAAAGATTGCTAGAAGCCAACATGGATTTGTCATGAGCGAATCCTGCCAAACTAACCTGGTGTTATTTTTTGATTGGACAATCTCCCTGATGGATTGTGGGGATGATGTGAACATAATCTAGCTTAACTTTAGTGTGCCCCATGATATCCTAATTAGAAAACTAGCCAAAAGTGAGCTAGATGGAACAACAGTCAGGTGGATTCACAGTTGGCTATTAGAATTGGACTCAAAGAGTGTTCATCAACAGCACCTTCTAAAACTGGGGAGAACCACAGTGGGGAACCACATGGTTCTAGTAACTAGTGAGGAACCACATGGTTCAGTCCTGAGCCCAGTACACTTCAACATTTTTATTACTGATTTGGATGAGGAAGTACAGGGGATACTTATCAGATCTGCAGATGGCACAAAACTGGGTGGGATAGTTAATCTGGAAGGCAGAAATAAGATTCAAGGTGATAAGTTGGAGCATTGGGCTGAAAGCAACAGAATGAAATGCAGTTCAGAGAAATGCCAGGTTTTGCACCTAGGAAAAAGTAACCAAGTGCATTGTTACAGGGTGGGGAGTACTTGGCTCAGCAATCCTGCAAGTAAGAAGGATCTTGGAATTGTTGTAGATCACAAGTTGAATATGGGCTGCATAAAGGGCAAATGCTTTATTGGGCTGCCTTAACAGAAGCATCACTTCCAAATCAAGCAAAGTCCTAGTTCTCCTTTACTCAGCACTGGTGAGGCCTCATCTGGAGCACTGTGTCCAGCAATGGGCACCACAGTTTAGGAAAGATGGAGACAATCTGGAAAGAGTTCAGAGGGCAACGAGGGTGATCCTAGCACTGGAAGCAAAGCCCTCAGAAGAGACATTGAGAGAACTGGGCATGTTTAGCCTTAGGGGAAAGATGATAGCAGTCCACATGTACTTGAAAGGCTGTGGCAAAGAGGAAGGATCAAGAAGGATCTCTTCTTGAACATTTATTTATTTATTTATTTATTAAAACATTTTTAATAAATAAATATTTATTTATTTCCCAGAGTATAGGACACATACCCTTCTCTTGGTGCCAACTGGCCTTCCTGCCCCTACTGAACTTTTCTTTTATTTCTCCAGACTTTAAAAAATTAAGAATGTGTGTTGACTGAGCAGCTGGCATGCTGCAAAGTGAAGTGCTGCCCATCAGCACCAGGAGTGGCTTTGTGTTTCGTCCCCCACTGTTGCCTGGCAATTAGGTTCTGGAGCATGTTGCTTCTCTTTCACTCACACCAATTGCTCCCTGGGAAATGAGTGTTTTGTGAATAGTCATGCCTATTGTGCAGCTTATTTCATGACTGAGCAAGCCCCCCCATGTCAGCCTTTCTGTGAGAGTACCCATGGCACACGCAGCCTTCCAACGGTGTCCGCTGACTTGAAATGGTTGAGGCAGCTTGCTGTAAATCAAGCACTCCTGAGTTGTTTTTTAAGTGCAGGGTTGGATGACAGTTTCCACAGATTATTCATTTTTGAAATGAAGAATAACAGTGTTTTCCTAATTAAAAAAACTCTGGTTAAATAGGCATGTGGTTCTCTGAACGACTCTCCTTTAAATGCTAGATCTTGCGGGCTGGGGAATCAGAGGAGAATTAGTTAGGGTTTTAACTGCTTGGGGGGAACTCAAGCAAAACTCCACTTTACTGGGAAGACTTTACTGGGGTCCATCCCACTTGTTTCTGGAGCCTATTTCATTGCCAGCCTAGGACATAAAATAGGAACAAGCAGAACTGTTTCCTTAAAGAATATATAGACTCTTCTCTCGCTACTGAGAATATCACAGGCATCCCATTGCTTCAACTGTGGCTGATAATCAGTGTACAAGTAAATTTGTGATATTATTCAACTACTGCTCCTAAATTATTTATTTAATCAGTGTACAAGATTTCAAAATTACAAAATGGATTCAATAGAATTTTCCCTGAAAAGAAACAGAGCTTACAAATAAAAATCTGTTGCAGGTAGAAATAACCTGTAAAACCAAAAGTTCAAACACGACAGAAAGGCCAGTGAAAGCAGCTGGGCACAAAAACATACTCAGGCAGAGCATGATGAGCCCTTTATGGAAATGTTTTCTAGAAAGCCCTCTCCCTAGTTGCCCTTGGCAGTTGGGAAGTTTATGTTTCTGGGGGAAATGAATGCCTTTTAATCCCAAACCAGCTTGATCTGTAAAGGCTTCTACAGGACAGAAAATAGCAAAGCACAATTTAAAAATCAAATATATGCTGTGATTAATGGCACAATTCCATTTGATTTTGGACAGATGTAGGAAATGAAAACAATTCCTAGAGAAGCTAGCTAGCTAGCTTGCTTGCTTGATTTATTAATTTACCATTCTCTCCCCCTCTGCTGCCCCAAGAAGCTCAGGGCAGCTTTGTATGTCATCTCCCCATCCTCACCATTGATCCTCACAATAATCTTTTCAGATAAGTTGGGCTGAGAATGTGTGAGGGGTCCAGTAAGCTTTGTGACTAAGCTGAGCAGGGACTTTGGACCTGGACCTGAGTCTTGAGTCTAGCAGTCTCTCTGTTCCATCTCAGAGATGCTCTGCACATGTCAGAATCCAAAGACCATTCTGATGCCAGTTTCAGGGGAACAACCAGCATTCGTAGACCATTTGAGAGGCTGCTGAAGGTCCCATCTGTCCTCAGCTGGGACTGATAGAGGATTCCTTCTTAAAATGTGTGTTTGCCCCAACAGTCCCCACCAGAGCTTTGCCACCTGTCTACTCTTTTCCTTCCCAATGCATCCTGCTGTTTTGTCTGTCACTCAACCCACTTCCTTTCCATTTATTCCCAGGAGACAAGTCCAGTTCAGGGCTCTCCAACCAGCCCTACCACCTCTCCAGAAAGCAAAACCCCTGGATCTCCAGGAACCCAGCGCCCTGCCTCCCACAGACGAGAGGGGGCACCCGGGGCACAGGCTGGTGCACCAGGGGCTCCAAGATCAGCAGGCATCCCCACAGCCCAGCCAGGAGGTCCTGGAGTGCAGGGCCAGCCAGGCCTTGCGGGAGCAGAAGCTGCTTCTGCAGGGTCCCAGCCAGGAGCTGTCTCTCCTGGAACCCAGCCAGGAGGAGCGGCAGGAGTACAGCCAGCCCACCCTGCGGGTCAGCCAGGAGCTCCTGGAGCATTCCCAGGGGCCCCTGGCACACAGCCTGGGGCTCCTGGGGCCCAGGCACCCTATCCGGGGGCACCCGGGGCCTATCCCGGGGCTCCTGGGGCCCAGGCACCCTATCCGGGGGCACCCGGGGCCTATCCCAGAGTACTTGGGGCCCAGGCACCCTATCCGGGGGCACCCGGGGCCTATCCTGGAGTACTTGGAGCTTATCCTGGGGTTCCTGGGGCCCACGGGGCTCAGCCACCCTACCCTGGGGCTCCCGGGGCCCAGCCTGGGGCCCCCGGGGCCCAGCCACCCTACCCCGGGGCCCCCGGGGCCCAGCCACCCTACCCCGGGGCCCCCGGGGCCCAGCCTGGGGCCCCCGGGGCCCAGCCACCCTACCCCGGGGCCCAGCCACCCTACCCCGGGGCTCCCGGGGCCCAGCCTGGGGCTCCCGGGGCCCAGCCACCCTACCCCGGGGCTCCCGGGGCCCAGCCTGGGGCCCCCGGGGCCCAGCCACCCTACCCCGGGGCTCCCGGGGCCCAGCCACCCTACCCTGGGGCTCCCGGGGCCCAGCCTGGGGCCCCCGGGGCCCAGCCTGGGGCTCCCGGGGCCCAGCCACCCTACCCCGGGGCCCCCGGGACCCAGCCACCCTACCCCGGGGCTCCCGGGGCCCAGCCTGGGGCTCCCGGGGCCCAGCCACCCTACCCCGGGGCTCCCGGGGCCCAGCCACCCTACCCCGGGGCCCCCGGGGCCCAGCCTGGAATTACTGAGGCTGAGAGAGGTTATCCTAGTGTTTCTGGGGTTCAGCCGGGTGATCCTGGGGCCCAGGGTGTTTCTCCTGGAGCTGAGGCTGGAATTCCTGAGGCTCAGCCCATAGTTCCCTGGCCCACCCCATTCTACCCTAGGGCCCAGCTGGGCTGGCCTGATGCCCGAGCTGGATTCTTTGGCCAGCCTGCTTTTCCCTGGACTGCCCCTCTTGGATATGAGCCTAGCACTCCTCTTGCATTGCCAGCAGCAGGCCAACTCGCGGTGCCCCCTGGACCTGTTCTGGGCGCCACACCACCTACATCTCCGTTATTGTCCTCCGCAACTCCCATACAAGATGCGGAGACTCCGTCCTCAGGATCCTCCTTGGCCCCAGCCCGCTACGCTGATACCGTCGACGCGCTGCGCTCCCTTGCACAGTTGACTGACCTCTGCTTTTCACTGAGAGAACAGATCGGCTTGCTGGATCAGTACAAGTGCAGCCATGCTGACCTCCGTAGGCTGCAGGACTTCCTCACCGACGCACGTACGGTTTGCAGATGTACAAGATGGTCCTCCAAAGGTTTCAGATTTCGCAAACTGAGAAGCATTTGAGCAGATTCCCAGCAATGCTGCTCCATCAGTTTTTTTGTAGCCCGGCCAAGCAAACATATCAGGCTTTGGAAACTTGGTGCTACTATTTGGGAATTAGGCAGTGTTAAGCTGGGAAGGGATAATATATGCAGACATGGTGAGTTCCTTCCCTCCATGTCAGTGTGTATGAGGCAAGAATATCAGCACCGAGATCGAGGAGGGAGGGAAGCTTGGAGAGCCCCACCTTTTGCAAAACTATAGCAAATCCTTTAGGGCAAAGATCCCTGAGGGTTCAGTCCCTTGCATGTGTAGCTAGGGGGGAAAAGTCCTACAACTCCCAGAATGTTCAGCCAGCTTGGCTGCTTGGAGGGATGCTGGTAATTGGAGGACTTTTTTTCTGTTTGGATGTGTTCTTTAAGGGTAGGAGCCCCAGAACGGCCAAACCAAGAATGAGCACGCCCAGTGGGCATAGAATCTGGCTAACTACAAAGGGGTGGAGGGGAAACCAAGAAGGATGGGAGATTGAAGCGGAGTATCTGAAGTAACGGTGTGGCTGGCAAGTATCCTGAACAAAGCATCCCGCACTGCAACATCTTGTTGCAGGTCCCACTTGTAGAATGGAGTTATTCATTGGCACTCTTTCCTAAGGAGTGCCAATCCTTATATAGCCAAAATGGTACCATTCAATCCTAAGGAAAAGGTGCCTGCAGGCTTGAAGGAACCCCAAGATGGGCAGAATTACCTCCTGTCCCCCACTATTAGGGAGACGCAGGAAAGGAACATAAGAGATCCAAGCATGTTCCGGCAGCCGAGAATGCTAACTTACCGATAGGTCAAGTGGGTATGGAAAGCTGGAGAGAAGGGATGTGGCATAGAATACCTTGGAACACCAGGCTCAACATTTTGCTGCAAGTCCTGTTCACTTGTATCTATAATTCTCCTTCTTTGTTTCTGGGTAGTTTATAGGAGCTTTACCCTCATCCCACCTGACCTTCCAGAAAGGCTTGCCGCAATGAAGGCCATGGAGGACGACCTGAAAACCGAGAAAGAAAAGGTGAGCCAGCCAAACTTTCTGCCACTGGGTTTTCTCATGGGACATTTGCTCAGCCTCCAGAAGTGCTACATCCTCTGAAGCCATCCTTACATGCCTTTTTTATAAATCTTTGCATGCAGATTTTTCAGTGGTTCCTTTAGTTTGCTTACTGGTATATTTCACTTTTTGTTCCATTTGATCCAAAAAGGGTTTGGATTTTTTCACATTTGGTCCAAAAGGCTACTGAACATGGCTTATAAAGTGAACAAAATATACCTCAATCCAGTGGATCTCTACACCTGGTTAAGTGGGAAGTGTATAACTGGGGTGGAGGTGTTATATAGTCATCTACTGTATACTTCCTTGAGCTTTGAGAAATTCCAGAAACAGTGCTACCAGACCCCAGAATGGGTCTGCTGGGGTCTGTAGGACTTTTTCTGTCAAAACATGTGTAGTGTCACCAGTCTTTGCCCACACCCCTCCTTCTAAGCAGATCTCCTAACTAAAAGCTCTTAACACATGCCCCCTAACTAAAAGGTTTTATTAATTTAAAGTCGACCAGCTAGGCTGGCTTTGTGATACAAAAGGAGAGTATTGCAGAAGTCAGGAGCAAAAGACAGTAACAAAAAGTACTGTCAGTACTTCCCCTTCATGTTGTTCCTGCTGCTTGTTGACCAATCAGTGGGAATGTCTGATGCTACTCAGTGGGGCTGCCCTCGGGCAATCGGATCAGTAGTATTATGGTCACCCCCACCCAAGTCCATCTTTTCAAGTCCATCCCACAGAAGCACAGGTGTTGCTTGGTTCTCATCAGCTTCTTGACTTATCTCTGGACTTGTTGGCCTTGGCATTCCCACAAAGAATCCCAGTCCCACTTCCTAGTCCAGTGCGCATTCAGGTGCCCAGGCCACAACCTTGGAAGTCTGCATTTTAGAAGTAGGCCTAGTCTCTACGTAGAGGATTTCAGTTTCCTTTGAATGACAGAGCACCTGGAGACTTACGATGTCTCAGGAATTATGATGTCTCAGCTCAAAGATCTCTGTGACCTTGGACTTCACATTATACTGAACTGCAGAACCTCTTTCAGCCTTTGGACTGAATTCAGTTTTAGAAAACTAAATAAGCCTTCAGGGGCCACATGCTGTGGTGAGTGGACCAAGTGCAAAGCAGTGGGTCCAACCCTCGCCTCACCACCAACATACAGGTCGTCCCAAAAAAAAATGAGTAACTACATGTCCTAGGCAAACGAAATTAAATAGGCTTCATGTTGAACAATTAAAGATTTATTTATCAAAATTTGAACAAGAGATTCAAAGGGATGTAGATTTCATAACCGATTTCACAAAGCTTTGCAAACGTTCAATATGCACACTGCCTGTGCCACGACACATGTCAAGTCGGTAGTCCACCTCCTGCCAAACATGCTGTAGCGTGTCTTGCATAACGTTGTGTAACTAACAGTTTTTACACATTTTGTTAAAATTTGAGATCATTTGAGCAAGAATTGGCTATGTTATTAGACTACAAAATGATGCCAGTTTTTTGGGACACCCTGTATTTTAGCCTAAATTGGTTCCTGCTGGTAACAAAGCCTTACAAGAAGCATTTCAACATTTTAGGATGGAAGCAGGGGGTGCTCAAAGCCATAGAATCCCTGAATGATTTATGGCTGGCGGAAAGGGGCCAGGGAGTGGGCAGCCCCTTTGGAGAGAACTTGAAGGGCCAGATTGGAGCCCCGGGGTCCTGCCACTCTGCCCTAAGCCTCTTTGGCAAATCACCACTTTCTACCATGAGCCACTTTCAACAAAATCACTGACAGATCCATCAAACTCACCCCAGTGTGACCATTATTTCTTCTGAAAATAGTTACCTGTCTTCAAAGACATGCTGCCCTGACAAGACTGGGAATGCCGGGTTGTGCTGGTTCTCGGGTTACCCAGTCCCATGTGCTCTCCTTGCACCTGCTCCTGCTCCTTGGTTCATTCCTGGTTGTTGGGTTTTTCACCTCCTCACCCAGTTTAGTTCTCAGCTTTAAAGAAAGAGCTCAGATCCAGGAAACCCAGCACTGAATCCATTAGTTTAATATTGTCTCTAGGAATGCTTTCCTTATCCTCTAGAACATGGGCAGGGAACTTTCATCCTTCCTACTTTTCTTGAACTACAAGTCCCATTACCACACCTATTGGCCATGTTGGCTGATGGGAGTTGGAGTCAAATGCCACCTGGAGGGAACTGTGTTCCCTGCCCCTGCTCTAGACCTAAGTGCAGTTCTGATTAGTTCTAACAAAAAGGAAGTCGTGAGCGGAGTCGGGGGTCAGACTAGATGGCCCAGGAGGCTCCTTCTGACTTGCTCTGTTTCTATGAGTCGGGTGCACAGTTACAGTTGCTTGCAGCGGGGCAGAATGGAGCCCTTTTCTCACAGGCAGTGTTTTCTTTACAGGAAAGTTTGAGTTCTGAGAGAGCACGATTCTTTAAGAGAAACATAAATTTTGTCCCCCTCTTTCTCCTTCGCTTCCCCGTGATTCTAGTTGAGCAAGATTCAGAAAGTGATTGAAGGAGAGGTGGAACCCATGTCGACAGCAGAGAAGGTGGAAGGAGCTGGGCAGATCAACATGCAGATAGGTTATCTCAGGTAAAAGAGCGAGCCCACAGAGCAGGGGCAGACAACTTCTGGAAGCCCCCTCCCCAAATGTTGCCACCAAAATTTGGCCGCTACTGAGTGCTATAGTTGTTAAATTTAATTAGTTTCCAAGCTGAGTGCCACTGTTTTGCAGTGCTGCAGGCAGCTCTTTTATTTCCAGGGAAATTTTTAAAAAGAAAAGCAATTAGGAGGTCAATGGAGGGACATCAGGAGGGTGATGGAAGCTCAGCTGGGGAGAGCACATGGCCATGGTCCCATGTGTTGCCCATCCCTGCACTAGATGTTGAGGATCTGTATCCCAGAGGACCCCTTAACCATTTCAAAACTAAGATTCAATTCCAATAAGAAGAACCACACAGGAAGAGGGAGGTCAGGCAGTGAGCTGGCTAAGAGGAGAGCAGCATTCCCCAACCTGGTGCTTCCCCAGATGCTTTGGACTACAGCTCCCAGCATTCCTGACCATTGGCTATGTTAGCTAGGGCTGGTAGGAGTTGAAGTCCTAAATGTTTGTTGGCACCAAGATGGAGAGGGCTGTACCAGAGCAAGAAATGGCACGGAGACCTGACTGAGATCAGCCAGGGAACTTTCTTCCAGGTAGTGCTTGAGAGGTGAGAAGTCCAGAGAGGATCGAGGTAGAAACTTTCCCAGATAGGCAACCTTCCTGCAATATGACCCAAACAATATGTTGCTGGGAGATTCTTGGACACTTCGGGCTCATTTCCCCTGAGTAGCATGTGACTGTGTTGTGTGATGTCGCCATGCGTGACATCGTCCCCTTTTGTTGGTTCCCTGGGAGACATCAGGATAAGGACTCACCTACTTATAAGAGGTATCTTGGGCCTGAGCAGAGCCTCTTCTTTCCTGGGTCCCAGGAAAGGATTCATGCACTGGCCCCTGCCCATATGGCTCCTGTACTGCAGCGCTCATCACAGTAGTGTGGGACCTTGCCATATTTATGGCTAGAGGCAAAGGTGTCACATCCCCAACTGAGGAACCAAGAGTTGTCGGAGCACAACCACTGAGAGAAGGGATGCTGCATAGATGCCATGTGGGTGTTTCCTCCATGCTCTGAAAACTGGAAGAGCTGCAATGTTCTGTTGAGTCAAGAATTCTAGATAAAGGATACTCCTGTCAAAGGAGGGCTCTTGGCAATCCTAGGGCTGGCTTAGGATGTCCCTTATAAAGCTTAGAAGAGAGATCTTGAAGCACCCGCCCCCTCAGTGTGAAAGCCTCTATTCCAGTCTCCCGCAATCTCAACCTGTCCAGATATTTTAGACTTCAGTTCCTTCCTGCCCCGCCTGGAACAACCTGTGGGCAGGAATGCTGGAGGTTGTGATCCAGAACATCTCGCGGTCAACAGGCTGGGGAAGGCTGCTGCAGCCCTGAGCCATGCAAGCCCACGAGATGCCCCTACCTTGCTTACCTGTCCTGGACATTTCTGGGGGAAGGGGTCAAGTGAGGAGCTGCCTGAATGACTTCCTCTACCCTTGGGGCATTTTGTGTTGCCATGTGATTTGTTGGTAAACAAATCAAATCTCCACATAATGCAGAGAAGCCTTGGGAGGTTGAATTAAGCAGGCACCAGGAGGTATTTGGTAGGCTACTTTCCATGAGCTACCCTCAATTTGCCCCTAAACTGGATCGAGGGGCACATGCGTGTGCTCAGGGGTTTCCTATGATGGACAAAGGGCACGTGCACCTAGTCCAGAATGATTGTTTCAGTTGGGCAAGTGACTCCTCTCTATTGTGGTGCAGAGCAACAGTGCAGGATATAGAGAAAGAACTAAAGGAGCTGAGAAGCAAGCAGGAGCTGGGGAAAGCCACGCTGGAACAGTCGGTGACTGACACTGCCTTCTACCTCCAGGAACAGGTCAGCAAGCGGACTCAGGATGAGTAGAGGCTGTTCAGGTTTTCTTCCTGGCTGCCCAGAGGCAGCCCTGGATACCCCTCAGGGCACTCACTCGCGAGGTCTCTCCTTGGAGCCCTTGCCCTTAGTGAGAGGGGTCTGGTCATACGGAGAGCAATGGCACAAGCCTGCCCTGCCCTGGGGCAAGCCTGCCAGGTAACTGCAGGAAAGAGGCTTTGTTCAGGCTCTGCCCCAAGTCAACACCTGCCTTGCCAGGAGTACCAGCAGAGAGGTGTCGTGATTCTTTCCGGGTGATTAACTCCCCAGACCCACCTCTTCCGGCTTGCCCTGTGGCATGCAAGTTGGCTCTGGTGGCTGATGGCTTGAGTCCATCCTTGGCTCAGGAGTTTGCAAAAGTGCCATTGCAGCCCATATACTGTATTCAGGAGTTGCAGTCATGCTAGTGGCAAGCAGACCCTGTGCAGAGGGTTGGGGGACATCCTAGAGGCAGCTTTGATCTAGCTTGTGGGGGGATCTGGTAGCCAGCACAGTTCCCCTTCCTGCTGCATTTCTCCCTGGCATCAGTGCATGTGTACTGCACCCCCGTCGAAAAGCTGCAAGATCCTACAGTTCGGCACAAGGGTAGTTCCCTGGTCTTAGGCTCTTCAAAATTGCATCCCTAATTTATTACAAAGAGGCTGGCTCACACTCTGGCTGCCTCTGCCCAGAGGGACAGATTTTGCTTCCTTGCTTCCTTGCTGCCTTGTGGAGCCTTTATCTCTCAGGTTACCAGCTTCTGAAAGCAGGGAGACAGGGGTGGGCTGCTGGGCAGGCTTCAGCACTCCCTTCAAAGCCATTTGATCTGCAGCCATTTGCAGGTGATAATCTCATTAGTTCTGTGCCCTAGAAAGTTTCACCTGCTGAATACTTTCTGTTAGTCTGATTTTAAACCTCTGGATTTATATTAAACCTAGGTCAGGGTTGTTTGGATTGTTGTGGAGGTTTTCTCTTTTTCTTGCCCCCACCTGGGGCGGGGGGAAGCCTGTTTATTGCCTACAGCAGGGGTGGCGACCTGCAGTCCCAAACGCTTCGGGAAGGCTGCAAGTTGCCAGTCACACACACACACACACACACACACACACACACACACACACACACACGGGCTAGGGGGTGTGAGCCACTCAGTATCAGAGGTGATTGGATGGGACTGTGGTGCACAGAGGAATAATGTAAATCTTTCCTTTCCCATTGTGGGCCTGAGAAAAGTTGCCCTCCCAAAGCCTTAAGGGTGATGGTAGGGTCAGGTGGCTGGTTCCCATCGACATCCATGGAGCCGTTTGTTCTGGAACTATTAATTTTAGGGGTGAGTGGCTTATGGCGTATCTTTCCTGGCCCTGAGCTTTTGGCAGCTGACATTGTCTAAAGCTTTTCCCTATATATATATGTGTGTACGAGTAATTTCTTAGAAACTTATTTTTTTAAAAGGCCAAACAAAGATAGTTGTGCTTATCTGTGAGAAAAAGAAAACAAAAGCAAGATCCACTTTTAGGCAATGCCCTTATTAGACTAAGCCAAGTTCCCACAAAAATGTGCAAGGTTTTGAGTTCTCCAGATTTCTTCTTCCAGATTTCTAGCCTCCAGGCGAGAAGTTTTTTTGCATCACTTAGCCTGCTGAAGAGTTCTGAAGAGAACTGAAAAACCTTGCACATTTTGGTGGGATTTTGGCTGGTCCTAATCAAGGTGTTGCTCAAGTGTGGGTTTTATTTTTAAAGTGAAAATTGAACCTTAGAGGAGTGTTGCTAAGTTCTGCCAAGCATTCTTTTGGCTGTATGTGTTCCTCATGTTTCTTTATGCCTTTGCATAAAGAGGGCAAGCCAGGCAGAGCCCAACAGCCTGATGCTGCACTAGGAAATAAGAGACGTTCTGTGGTACCTCCCCAGCTCTGAAACTGAGCCCCGCTTCTTGCCCTTGCCCACAGTTAGACAAGCTTAGATCTGTCATAGAGAATATGATGAACTCGTCGTCCGCCCTGCTCTCCATGAGCATGCCACCGACCCCGGAGCCTGGGCTGGCTCAGGTCCAGGGCACCTGCGCCGCATGCAGCTTAGATGTCAGTGAGAAGGTCAGCCAGCTGTTCAAGCGCTATGAGCAGCTGCAGGATTCGATCAACAACTTTATGTTGAGGCAGGCGGAAGGCAAGTTGGCGAAGAAACCCAAGCACCGCCAGGTAAGGCCAGCACCAGCAGGCGGCAGCAGTTGTTCATCCCAGGTTTGGCAGTGCAGAGCGGAGGATACGTGAGTCCCGTGGGTGGAAAGAGGTCTCCTGGAAAACAGTGGGGATGGAGGCCTGGTGTGAAATCTGCACCACCCCAAAATGGAAGAGGAGAGCCACCCACCCACCGCCTTCATTTCCTTCTGAGCCCCCATGTGTGGCCCGGAGACATTCGTGGGAAAAGGTGGCAGCGGCCGGAGGCCCTCCCTCGGCTTTGCGGTGACCCCAGCTGCAGGCAAAGGGAACAAGTAGGAGCGGCAGGGCCCCAGAGCTGCCATGTTGCCTCCCCCAGGGTTTCAGCCAGAAATCTTTCCCAGCCCTGCCTGGAGAGGGCAGAGTGTGAAACCCGGACCCCCTCCATATGAAGCATATGCTCTGTCCCTGAGCTGCAGCCTCGGCTGCATGAAGGCCCTCCTGCACACACCTCCTTCGGGCTCCTCTTTCCAGCGAAGGAGTGCTTATGGAGCAACCATCTTCCCCCCATACATTATACCTGTTAATCCTCACACAGCGCCAGTTTCAGGGCTGCTGTGGCCCCATTATGAAGCATGTGGCTGCCCCTGTGTGTGCCCTTCCCTTCTGAAGGTCACAGAAGAAATGGGGGGGGGGGTCTGATCCCTCCAGTATTCAACAGGTGCTGGACGTTTGGCCATAACCCTGCCACAGCCCCTTGCTGGCATGGTTTCTGGGGGCCAGTTTCCAGGCCACGGTTAGTATAATTGATCCGTCCCTGCTGAATCTGCAGCTACCACCTCCACCTATCCTCGCATTTCGTAACTCAAAATGTGTGACATCCAAGGAGAGCATTTGTGTGCGGGAGCCACACTCGGCTTACATTTTGCCACTCCTTGTTCTTGGTCATCTGCTTCTTACCTTCCAGATTTCAGCTGTCTTAACCATGCGCAGGGGTCAGGAGCAGATTTTGGAATTATGCGAGAGTCATACAATGACTCCTAGAGAACTTGGGTGGTGGGCCAGGAGCCCCTGCCTTCAATGCTTCACTTTGTCTGCTGTCTTATCTATGTTTCAAAATAGCTGAAGGAATTGTGGTTTCTTCCTTTTTGCTTAAAAAGACCCTTGGGAGATGAAAACCATCTATTGAGAAATGGCGCATCTGTGCATTTCTCTGGTCATTCTTTTCTTGCTATCTGCTGACCTGAATTTCGGGATACAGTGTGTGAACCCTGTGGCCAGATTGTCACTTATTCTGTCTACTGGATCTCTGGTTTTATTGCAAAAGATCATGGGAACTAAATTGACTGATGGGAATGTGCTTTTTAAAAAATGGTCTATTTCCCGAAGGATGGAGATAATGAGGTTTCTGTCAAAGACCACATATGTTTCAGGAATTTGGCTATTGCTCTCCTGCTTTTCAAACTTCCACCAGTGACGGCTGTAAAAGCTGTGTGCTGACACCACAATCCAACACAGTTCAAGTGTGCTTACATGCTCATTGATTTAGCTGCCCTCTCTGTGTTGAACACTCTGTGGATTGTGGCCAGAGTCATTAACAATCCAGTTTCCCTCCTGAGTCAAATTTAACATGATTCTGAGGCTGTTAACATAAAATTCCAAGGCTAAAGAAGTTCAAGGCATGTTATGTGAATGTGCATAATGCCCGAGGAACACTTCGTGTATCCAGACTTACAGTAGGGCCAAGAACTGGGTGTGTGGGTGTTGGGGGGGGTGGGGAGCGGGTGTGCATGAATCTCTGCTGTGCATACCTTACATAGCCTGTGGACAGAAGAGATTCTGTGCAAAGGTACTGTAAGCAAAGAATTAGGGGGCTTTGCAGGCTTTAAAGGTCACCCACCAGAAGCAAATCCTCCTTTCCAAATTCCTAAAGACTCCTTCATCTGCATTCCAGTTGGGTCTTTGTTTGCTTTTCTTCTAACCCACACAGTGGGAATCGTTTCCTGCCATCCCTTTGAGCGGCCATTTTTCCTTTGACTACTTTTCATGTTGCTGGTTTATACCTGCCATCTTCAGCCTCATGCCCTCCAGAATTACACATTCCATCATCCCTAACTAATAACTGAGGATTATGGCAGTTGTAGTCTAACACATTTGGAGAGGTCCAGGTTGGGGGTGGCTGCTTAGACTACAGTTGATTTTGTCAGTATTCCCTCCCTCCCTCCCTCCCTCCCTCCCTCGGGAAGTCGTTCTCCAGAAGTTCTCAGTGAAATTAATGGCAGTTGTGTCCTAGCAAGTCTGCTCATTCCTGAGGGGGTTTCCAATTAACTCCCTGCCGGCTGCTGTGATGGGGGCGGTCTTTCGAAAGTCAGGATGTTTGGGCTCCTGGGAGCAGGCTTTGAAGGCTAAGTGGAACCTTCTCAGTTTCATGGTTGCTCTCCCCGAACATGTTGTCTTCACCAATCAGGATGAAGAAATGCTTAGCCAGATCCAGAACACCATCCTGCAAGTTCAGGACGAATGTGAGAAGCTGAATTCCACCACAGGCAGCCTCATAGAAGATCATCGCCAGAAACAGAAGGAGATCAGTGTAGGTGATCTGGGGGCAATGTCAGACGGTGGGGCCTGGAGGAGGGGGTCTCTCCTGGAGGCGGTAGGGAGGGTGCTGAATCTCAGTTCCGTGGGTTGTTAAGGACTGTGGTGCTTACTATGAAATGGGAATGTCGGCTCTCCTCCCTTCCCCGACTGTGAATGGAGAAAGCGGGCAGTTCAGACAGTGCACTCATCCCTGTCTTGTAGCAGGAGCAGCAGCTCTGAAGGCCTAGCCAGGTCCGTAGGGTTGCAGGTGAAGCAGCTGTGCCTCCAGCGATGTCACTGAGGCTCCTCCTAGAGTAGTCAGGCTATATGTGGCATTTTTGGGGTGCATCCTGTTCCCCAGGAAGTGGTGCAGGGGCTAGCAGTGTTTGTGGCAAGCCACCCCAGGTGTTTTATGGGGGGCAGATGCCGTAATAACCTTGCAAGCCACTGTGGGCTCCTTGGAAGAGGAAGAAAGGTGGGGTAGAAATGCAATGCAGTGATATTAATCAGGAGGGTGGGGACTCGGAGGAGGGCTTTCTCAGCGGTGGCGCCTAAGTTATGGAATGCGCTCCCCAGAGAGGTCCGCCTGGCACCGTCGTTATTTGTTTTTCGGCGCCAGGCGAAGAGCTTTTTATTTAAACAGCATTTTAAATATTAATACTATTGAATTTTATCTGGCCAGGGCGGCTTATTTTATATTGTGTGTGTGTGTGTATTTTAAATTATTATTATTATTATTTTAATGTATATATTTTAATTTTTATTTATGTGGTTCTAATTTTTTGTTGTAAGCCGCCCCGAGGCTTCGGCGAATGGGGTGGCATAAAAATGTTTTAATAAATAAATAAATAAATAAATAAATAAATAAATAAAATATTAGTAGGCCAATGAGTAACTGTCAGCCAGGATGCCCTTGATGGGGAACCCAAAGAAAGATAAGAGATTCTTGCTCCACCTTACAGACAAACACATTTGTTTCGGCACATGCTTTCATGGACTATAGTACATCTGACTAAGTGGGCTCGAGGTCATGAAAGCTGATGCCAGAATAGGTTTCTTCTTCTGTAAGGTATCACACAGTGCTCTCTCTTTGTGTTGTAATAAATTAACACATCTGCCCTCTGGAAATTGTTCCAGAGAAAGACGGAATATTAAACTGCCCAATGTCTTACAGCAGTGGAAAATACATGCCTTTTCTGAACAGACACCAAGAGCAAGTTGCTTTCCTCATCTTGACTGACGTCTGGCAGGACTGCCAGGTCCCCCATCGGCCACTTAACCTCCTTTCTGTGTGGCATTGATTCCCCAGAGGTGGAGTCAGCAGGCATAAAACCTGGAGACGTGATGCAGGGTGAGCAGTTTGTGGGCCTCCAGATTTGTTTGGACTGCGGTGTCCACCATCCTTTGTTAGCTTGATCCAGTGGGAGTTGTAGGCTAAAACATCTGGAGACTCATAAATTACCCACCCCTGCAGTAAAGTCTCACCTGCATTTAGTGGAGTGGGACCAAACACAAAGGACGGGGCTCCCAGGTGCTTTCAACAGCTGTGCAGGAGAGGGTGTTTCAGAAGCGGTGGCTCACAGGACAACTCCTAATGGTGCACGACTGATAAACCAGTCTGTTTCTGGTTCATGTCAGTTAGTTTCTCATGTATTTCTCGTGTCTCTTCCAATTTCTGCATCGGTGATTTTTAAAAATAAGGCTTACAAATTGCATTTATGTTTGCATGCAGTTTTCCTCAATGCATACTTTTCTGCATGCAGCTTCCCCTATTATGTGTATTTTGCTGCAAACCAGTTTTGCTGAGAACTGTACCCAAGTGTGCCATCTGAAGAATAAATGCAGAAAATGTGAATGGGTCGATTCACTTATGGATCCAGACCAAACAAAATTCTCCCCCTTCTTAGCAGGAACTTTTTCCTCTTTCACATCTGGCCACCTTGTATGTTCCTCAGTGCAAACTGGAGTTGCTGGTGGCAAAAATAGTTTCATTTCCTTCTCTTTACCCTTCTTCATTAATCCAGGCAGTAATATAATAGGTTGCTTAGTCCACGCAAATCATCTTTATTTCACAACTTGACACTTTACAACATACCAGCCTATAATCTGTTAATTCTAATAAAGTGGAATTAGAAGTATTTGTGGACCCAGAATGTGGGGATGTGGTTTGCAACATCCGAGCCTAATGAGGCATAGGGGAGTGTCATGTATATCCCTGCTATCCAAAAGACGGGAGGGGATTAAAGATGATGACTGTATAGAAATTGAGCCTCAGTGGTAGGCAACTTTGATCCCTTTGCTCTTTTGTGCTTCTTCAAGATGTTGTTCAAGTCCCTGGAGAAGCTAGAAAACCAGAAGGCAGACAAAGATCACATAGTTATGGAAATTGACGTGGTAAGAAATACCCTCCTGATCTCATGCATCCCCAGAGGCATGGATGATGCTCCGGGGTTCTGCTCCCAGCTCTGCAGGGCAGTTCTGAGCCACGGACTTGCGCTGTCTTTGCTCTTCTGCTGCTGCTGTTGCTGCTGTTGAATGGGGATCCTGGTGCACACCTTCCTTTTGGGGTCAGGGCAGATATGGGGGAGATGCTCTTGGCCATTCATCTGTGGCAACTGGAGGGAGAGCGGGCCGGGGGTTCTGAGTGATCTAGGTCCAGACCACAACTCTGCCCCACCCTTCCTCCTGCTTTCCAGAAAGCAGACAAGACTGCTCTTGCTGCGAAGGTCAGCCGCAGCCAGTTCGATGCCACCACCGAGCAGCTGCACAAGATGATGCAGGAGCTGTTGAACAAGATGGCTGGCCAAGAGCAAGATTGGCAGAAAGTGCTTGACAAGCTCCTGATTGAGATGGACTCCAAAGTAAGTGAGGCTGGGGCTTTCTCCGCCATTCCCGGGCAGAGCATCCTGGGAGGGCAGCTGCCACTGGCAAGAAAGCGAGAGAGCTTCCTGCGATCAGAGGGCAGCGCTGTGGCATCTGACCAGCACTACTGGCTGCCTCCCGTGAATGCGCTCATCTTTCCCCTGCTCTCAACGATTGCGTGCTCATCGCAGGGAGCTACTCGTGTGTGTTGCATGGCTTGTGTTTGCCCCGCCAGCCAGGAAGCCTGACGGACACGACGCACTGCCCCTGCCTCTGCATCCTGACATCCCGCTTGCTTCTGGTCCCTGTTTGGGATGTGGTTTCAACCCATCAAGATGGGGATCTGAAGGTCCTCCTCCCTCATGCTGGGGTAGCAACTTCCACCATCACCCACCCTTCTGGCCAGGGCTTATGGAAGTTGTCATCCAGAACTGCTGGAGGCTTGTCTGCTTGGGTCTGAGACAAGCCTGCCTGTTTGCCCATGTCATAATCAGAGGCTCTTCTCCAGCCATCTCTGCCTTCGAAGGCTGCAGGAAAGAAGGGAAGGAGTAACCCGGGGCAGAGTCTTTTCTGGGGTGGTACCCTTGTCCTTGAAATCTTCTAGGCACCAGTTAAACCGTAGGTAAAATGATGTTTTCCACAGGATTTTGCTTAAACAATTCCACATGTGGTAGAATGGCAGGTAGATAGATTTAAACAAAATTAATGGAAACCAGATCTGCAGGACTGATGCCTCTCCCTCCCTCTGCCGGCTCCGATTAGAGCCAGTGGCAGGCAGGAGAAGGCTGACCTTGCTTGAAATAAGGGACGAGGAATGTGCAGCTGTTCCCCACAGGCAGATGGGATTTGCATCCAACAATATCCAGGGGACTGCACACTCCTCCTCTTTGGAACAGTAGCCCTTTCAGGCTTGAGGCCGCTCCCATGAAGCAAACTATGTTGTCTCAGCCAGATCTGTGGTTCTAGCAGAGGGGCAGTTTTTTGAGGAAGTGAGCTGATGCAAGTGGGGTGGGAGCAATGTTGTGACACTGCACTGCATTTTTCCTTGTGTTGACACCTCAAACTCTGAAATCAGAAGGGAAGGGATGCATGGGGGGCCCAGATTCTTTCCTTTGGCCAAATATTTGCATTATCTCTCCTGCTGATCTCCACCCCTACTTCTCTACCCTCCTTCCCCCTGAATGTCCCCTGCAGGCACAGCTGGCTCAACTGCCCAGAGAGCTTTGGCCGAGGGGAGCTACAGAAATGGAAATAATCATAAGAATCACAATCATAATGTGGCGAGCACTAGCTTCTGTTGGCCACTTCCAGATCTCAGCAATTGCTAAGAGTGTCCAGAACTGCAGACCTCTGGGATGCTGGGACATCCCTTTTCCCAAGAACCCTTGGGGCTTCCATGGGCTCAGAGCTGTTTTCCACTGAACTTTATGATGGTGCCCAACATGTTCTTGGGCTAGCAATTGCCCATGAGCACAGTTGCATTCACACATGTCAGGGTAGGCAAACCCGGTGCTTTCCAGGTGTCTTGGGCCATGGCCTCCACCACCCCAGCCAGCATGGCCACTCGTTAGGGATTATGTAGTCCAGAACTTAGGAGGGCAATGGGTTGCCAGCCCAACATTTTTGGAGGGCAGACTCACAGCCACCCTCCTGTCCTGCTGCATGCTTGAAATCAGACACGGTATGACAAATGAACTTACTTTGCTTCTTGGGCGAAGCAAGTGACCAGGTGAAATGCTGTTTCTGTGTGTTCCATGTTGAGCTGCAAATTGCTCTTAGGGGCACTCATTGTATGAAGCAAAGCAGCCCACTTTTTGCCCCTGGAGCCAGCTTGGCTAGGCCCTTGCACTGTCTTGTCTTCAGTATGCTGGGCAAGCCACATCTCTGTGCCTTGAAAGCGTCCTTCACATTCAAACCCTTGTGTCTCCTCCATGCAGTTGGACCGCTTGGAACTGGATCCATTCAGGCAGCAGCTGGAGGAGCGCTGGAAAGATATCCGGAAGCAGCTAAAGCAGAGGATGCCACAAGATTTAGGAGATGAAGCTGCCGGGATCAGGAGGCAAGGCGTCTGAGGGGGGTGGCTGCAGCTTTCAGGCGGCATCATATAATTGCAGGCTGCAGTTGTGCGCTATTTTCCCACAGAGCTGGCATCCCTTGACATCCCACGGTGGTGACACCATCAAAAGAAGAAAAGGGTGGGCAGCTTGTGGCCTTGCAGGTGTTTTGTCTTCATTTTATGGGTGTTATCTCATTGACACCTGCAGTAGTTGCATCACAGGGTAACTCATCAGGACTGGATAAAGTAGCAGCAATGGGTGAGGTGGTGGAAAGAGGATTGTGTTTCGTAAGCAGCCCCAGTTGTGGTTCACTTGCTGGGCAAATGTAGACCCATGAAAATAGCATTCAGGGCAGCCATAGTCGATTCCCTCTGTTTGGAGTGCACAGATACAGCCACTGCAAACAGCGGGCAGGCATGGCGTAACGTCCTAGCCCCGTTGGAGGCATGGGCGGCTTTAGGCGGCTGTCACGGCAGCAGTGGCCTAGCCAGGCTGACTGCTGATTCCTGCCAAGCCCCCCTTTTCTAGTGTGCCTGCAATGCCCTGAAGCAAAGCATCACTGGATATTGCAAGACATGTAAAGGGCAGCCCCCAGGTATTATGGGAAATTCCTGTGCTGCTTCCAAGCCACTGCTATGCTCATGGGACTGCCCGTGCTGCGGCCCCCTCGCTGTCCACCAGTGTAAGAGGGCACCTTCAGCCTGAACCCAGAGGGCTGTAGGCATCCAGCCCCCTGCCTGGCTGTTGCTTGCGGCGGCTGCCTCCCTGCCTCTTTGAAGTCTGCTGCAAGTCCGGGCGCAGTGCCGGGACCCTCCCCTCCTCCCGCGAGCTGTGTGACCTTCGAGTCACCACTAGAGGGCGCTGCTGCCTGGGCGCGTGGGGCGCAGCTCTCCCACCTGCGAGGGGAAGGGGCAGCCCGCGCAGCGCAGCGATTCCTGCTGCATCGCGCTGGCATGAGAAGCTGCTCTGTGCTGCACGATGCAGACAGGACTGGGCGGCCGGGCCGGGCCTTCTTCCAAACCCATGCCTGGTCCCCAGGCTGCCGTTCCGGCTGCGGTTTCCTTGCCTCCTCTTTTAATTGAATTGAACACGGAGTGCAGCTGAAGGGATGGAGAAAGAAGATGCCTTCAGACCCTGGCAGACAAGAAGCACGTTTCCCGGGCTAAGTTTCCACTTTGTGCGTGTGGCCTCTGTTGCTGCTGCCCCAGCCCTGCCCAGGACTTCGCTTTCCCAGCGGAAATGGTGCAGGCAGGCCAGCTCCTGATTCACCCCCCACTCCCTCCACTCTGGCCTCCTTAAGGTTGCAGGTGCGTCACTTTGGGGATGAGAGGGTCCCCATAGCTATCCCATTTCCACCAGTGGGGCACTTTTTAACAAGCACCTAGAGCATATTTTAATAGTAGAAATGTGTATACAGTGCAACAGTCATATAAACTAGGTAGGGGAAGGGGGTTTTTAAAGGAAGTTTTAAATTGGGTAGGCAATTTCTGACTCTCCAGATGTTTTAGACTATAATTCCATCAGCCTAGCTATCATAGCCAGTGGCAAAGGATGCTGGGGCTTGTGGGCCCAAATATCCGCTGGGCTGCAAGTTGCCAACCTCGCTTTAAATGTTATTTTTAAAAACATGGCCAAAAAACCATTGTTTTTATGCACGACTGAAAGAGCATGGAATCGGGTCATTTTAGATTTTGAAACAGCCATTCCAAACTAGCGAAGTTGGTCTCCCTGCTTAAACGGGTTCATCAGGTGGGCAGTTTAAGCATGCGCTGCTCTTGTCAGTCTCCGTAGCTGAACACAGCTTCTCTTGCTGCTCGCCCGGCTTGGTGGCTCAGCATGACACAGAAGCATGAACAAAGGCAAAGCGGAGTCCTTCGCTGCTTCTGGAAGGTGCCTCCTGCATCTTCCCCATGGAGAGATCTGGTATGCAAGGAGCTCCTGGGTCTGAGAGGCAAACTGTTCCTTCTTTGTATACAAACAAACCTCTCGACAGCAGCACATCTCTCTGTTTACGAAACACATATGCAAATTGCACAAGTTGCTCGTGCCTGGAATATGCTGAACTAGTGGCAGCTCCGCAGCTCTGGTTCCGGTGCCAAGAGGCTGCATGCAGTGCTCCCGTCACGTTTTTGTCTCTCTTTTTGGTATGATCTTCCTTCCATTCTCCCTCACGCAGATTGTACGGCTCAACGTTTGTGCAACTCATGTATCTGCCCTCATCACCCCTCTCCTTTTTTGATTTATCTCTTTTTGACTCGCACAGGAGACTCTTAGCTCATTTCCACTGCATTTCTTGTGACCGACCTTTGGAAATGGTGGTGCCTGGCCCGTAAGTTCTTGCATGTTGTTCTTACCTCGCTAATGCGATTATATTCATGGTGGGTGGGTTTAAATTTAAATAGGAAATACAGGGGAGTGGAAGCTGAGTGAAGCAGATCTTGGTCCTTGCTGAGCTGTGGAGCAAGTGTCTGCCTTTGACAGGTCGCTTGGGTCAGACCTCCTGAGGCCGGTGTCTGCCAATCAGTCCTAAAAGCGGCTGCTCGGGGTTAACCCCGAGAACCTCAGTCTCTCAGGCTGTGCTTCCTTGGCACATGCTACCTGTTGTTGTCTTGACAGGCACATCACAACACTCCCTGCTGTGCCAGGCTTACCCGCTCACCAGTCCCTCCGGCCATACATGGTTTATGAAATGGAGCAAATCAGGCAGCTGAACCGCAAGTACGGAGATGACGGGCACCTCTGGCTTTTCTTCTTTGTCCCCTCCTGATTCACGTGTGTTCTAAGTTGTGGTTGGGAATTGGTTGGAGCAGAGATTTGGAAAAGGGGCCTGAAGAAGAAAACGAGTATGAGCCAAGCCCCTGGGTCACATCCAAGATTAGTCCTGCTTAGACCTATTGGTAGACCTATTGGCATGAATGGGACATAATTAGCCCTGTCTCCTTTAAGTCTTATTCTTTCAGTGGGTCTAACGGAAGCAGGGCTAACACTGGGTACTATCTCCAGAGTGAGCAATACTACTTCATCTCAGAGGGGGCACGTTTGTTGCCTAAATAACAACTTCAGAGCAAAACAATGGTTTGGGGTACCATCCCATGCATGTGCAAATAGGGCAAAAAGTCATCCATCACCCTGCACAGGGTGTTTGCCTAGGATTCTGCCCCTGGTGACGCTTCACATTCTGAAGCGGGGCTTTTAGTTACAATATTCTGAGGCGGAAGTTGGGCTGACCCAAAACATGCTGCTTGCCAGAACTACTCTAGTCCCACTGCTCCAGGGGGAGCTGGTAAAAATGAAGTGGCCATCTAAAATGGTTTTGGGGTGGGGCAAAACAGGGCTGGCTGTTTTTACTAGCAGTAGCAGACTGGCTCTTCCTGACGGCAGTCAGTTTGTGGGTTCTGTTTATTCCTCATCATTCACTTGTAAATAATGGAGTGTTGTTGCTGAATAGCAGAAGGGAAAATGGTGTCAGATGCCAAAGGCAGGGAGAGCTGCTCCACCACTGTTATAAAATTACCGTCAATGGAACCAAAGGGCAACCGAGGGGCTGAGGGGCAGCAGGTGAACCTGCCCTTCCTTTCCACAATCTTAAAAAATGGACTGAACATTCTGGCTGAGGAAATTTGGGTCCAGCCTTAGATGAGAATGCAGTTGGATGGGCACCATGACCTTGAGAACCCCTTCATATGTTATACCTTTAGAATCTTGGACAGAAAACCTGTCTGCTTGAATGGGAATGTGCCCTTTGGCTTTGTAGACTCTTCACTTTTTGGTGCCTGATTAACTTCTGAGCTGTGCAGCCTCATGTGAATTGGGATAAGGAACCTTGGAATATGCTCCACTGGAGCTCTCTGTCCAGCCAACATCCTTCTCTCCCCGCACACACCTTGCAGCTTGGCACATTAAAAAAAGGAAGTCTAATTCCTGCATCCCCACATTTTTGGCCCATGCTTAGACAGAATTGGCATTTTTCAAAGCCTCATTAGTGTGTGTGTGTGTGTGTGTGCATGCATCCATGTGCGTGCACACACACATGTATGTGTGTGCATACACATGAAAGAGAATGTAGGGGTGTGTCACTCACGAATGTTTATGAAATCCTGTGTGTGTGTGTGTAAGCATTAGAGGGCGAGGGCGAGGGAGGGGAAGGGTATGGGCACCCTGCTGGCATGTGAGTCTCATGCCCATGAAGCAATGCAGCCCTGGGCCAAAAAAGATTCCCCACACTTATAGAAATAGTCTTGCTGCTCTTCTTTCTCAGAGAAGTGGCATGAAAATGAGCAGAGCATGCTGGGAGAGGCAGAGCTGTGCTGACCGTGTGGATTTTTCCTCTCCCTTTCCTTTTTCCGGTCGCTTTCTGCCTCCTTGCACCGGCTTGTGTGCTGTGCCCCCTTTCCCCATCCTTTTCCACCCCACCCCAGTCTCAGGTTAGGGCCCGGTGCTCGTTACGATGCACTGGAGAAGAGCACGAGCCTCAACAAGCTCCGTCGCATCCACTCCAAGATGCTCATGGATATTCAGAAGGTGCAGAGCCATTATGGCGGGCCCGCAAAAGTCAACGCTCAGATGATCAGGGAAATGCTGCAGTCCCAGTGCCTCGGCTCAGGCCTGTATGGCAGACGGTAGGAGAAGTGCTCTTCAGCAGTAAGTTGGTATCCCCACAGAGATGAGAAGCAAAGCAGAGCCCCGGGCAAGCTGCCGCCCTCTCCCCGGGTCCCCTCCACTCCATTAAATGAAGATGGTGGGGGCTCTGTAGCCATTCCGCTGGCCCTTCTCCAGCTGCAGCCTGCCCGCTTTGCCCCAAGGCCCCCTCCCACAAGCTGGCCGGGCCTTTGGCACTGACCCCAGTGCTCCCGAGAGAAGCACTGCGTGGAATGGCATCTTGTCGGCCAGAGGCACTCTGGGGTAATATGCGTGGTAGCAGCTTCTGCCAGCCCATCCAGTGCTTCTCCGGGGAACGCTGGGCTGGAAAGAAAGGGCCCTTTTCAAGAAATCACAAAGGGGAGCGGACCACTGTGCTGGGCACTGACCCTAGGCCTGAGATGATGCTGCATCACCAGCTCTCCCAGGAAGCCTCATGCAGAGCAGCAGCAGCAGTGTCAGCTGGGCTTGGGCAATGGTGACCTGTTCTCAGTGCTAGGCTCTTAGTTAAATTGGTATCCCTGCAGCCTTAGAAATAGCATTTGCATGAGGGCAGCTGCAAGCTGGGGTGCAAGGGGGCTTCTTCAAACCTTGCCTCATGCGGTGGCAAAACATACGCACACACAGAAGTCACTTTCGTGAAGGCATTAGGTAAAATCAAATGTGACCCCACTTGGGGCTGGTTGCAATGCATGTAAATTCCATTCATTTCAGCAGATTAGCTCCAAGTAGCACATAGGCTGGATTTTAACCATTCATCTGAACTTTGTGCATAGACCAGCTTTGTTTGTACCTGTGGCTGGAAGCCACACTTTCCGCGTGTGCTGCTGTGGTAATCACTCATGGAAATCTGCAGGCAGGATTCATGCAAATCCCTACTCAAAATGAGCTTCCATGTAGAAATGTCCTCATGTCTGAAGCAACCCATTCGGGTGCTGCTTCCCTTTAACGTATGTACAGGCTTGTGATGGAAACAAATGCAAAGACTGAGTTGTCTGACTTGACCTGCTGCACAGGCAATAAAATCTGGAATTCCAAAACAGGCTCAGAACTTCAAGAGTCGGCCAAACAAGTCAGACCTGATCGTTACCATTTTGCAATATATTTAATGAGGTCCGCAGACTGATTCCTGAGCCTGCCAAAACAAAACGTAACTTGCAGATTTAAATTAACTTACCCTGCAGGTCAGAAATGGCACGTGGTTTACTAACAACAAGAGACGGCCAAGAGTCCAGAAATCGATGTGATTTTGCCTGCCTTTCTGTTTTGTCTCACTGTTTGTTTCCTGTTTCTCTTGCTTCACCTCTTGCTTTTCTGCCTGAAAGTCCACTTTCTGTCGAGGAAACAGCCTCTCTGTTCAGATAGTGCCTTGCAAAATAATCTTTTGTGGTCTCACACTGCTTTGTGTGTCTGTGTGTGTCTTGCTGTGTAACAAAGCAAGGCAGGGGACAGGGTGGCAAAATCCAGGGCAGTGAGGAAGCGAACAGCAGCCATGTGGAGTCCGGTAAAGGCCTCTAGTCCTCTTCCCAAGGCGGACAACTAGAGCAACCTGCAAGCGGGATACGAGCACAATAGCCACCCACGCACGTATGTGCACACGTTTCACATAACTGCTCTGCAGAGGTCTGCTGCCCCTGATACTGCAGGGAATGTACCGGTACCATGGCCTGACCCCTCCAGCTCATTCTGAACTGCATTTCCATCTAATTTGAACAGAACACATTCCTCCTGTGCTGATCAGGTTTGGAATTCCGGGTAGCAAAATGTTGGTTTCCAATTTGTAAGCTGAGCGTCTGACTCGAAGGATCTTTTAGTTGTCTAAAAGAACCTCGTTGCACAGGCAGCCAGTGGGGGAGGCTGGGATAAAGGCTGAGGCAGAGGGCTTGGGCCACTCGGGGCGGGAGTGGGCATTCCTTGTGGTGCAGAAAGGAGGCCCGCCGGAAGAACCGCTCCCTTCTCTTTCCCCGGGCCGAGAAGCTTGAGGGTTTTACCCACCACCTCTCCCCTTGAGGGGAAGCCAGGCCAGCTGAGTGGAAGCGGGCATGGGCCACCCCGACTTCGCTAAGTGTCGGCCCTCCGTCCTTCGCAGAGACCGACTTCCAGAGGTGACGGACTTCGGCTACGTGAGTGTCCCTCGGCACTGCGGGGGCAGCCACACCCTCACCTACCCCTACAGGCGCTACGGGAAGCTGCAGCAGCTCGCCCAGTGCATGCCGCCCATCCACGCGGACGAAAACGCCGTGCTGGCCATGGTGAAGGTAACGAGGGGCCGGGCGGGTGGGGAGGGCCTGGCAGGGGGAGTGAGGCCAGAGCTGGGCTGCCAGCCTTGAGGCCTAAGCAGTATATTTAGGTCCACTGTGGAGTCACATGATCCACTACCACAAACAAACAAAAGCTACAATCAGCCAAGGAGGAGTGGGACAGGCAGCACCACAGATGGGGCGTTTTGTCCTATTTTGCTCCCCTTTAGCACTTCCCTTCCAGTTTTTCCCCCAGATAAAACTTGTTCCTGCTGAGATTTAATTTTGTTTACATTTTATGGTACCTTACAGTTCAAAGTTCATTTTATGGTACCTTCTGGAGAATGTGTTTTATGGTACAGTTCATTTTATGGTACCTTCTGGAGAAGCTTGCAATTGAAGAGAAATTTAACAAAATTGAATCTAGTAAACAGAACTTTATAAAAAGCTGTCCAGAAACGATTCATAAAGCATGGGATAAAAATATCCAAATAAATAAATTACAGTCTATCAAGTCTATGAAACTAGCCAAAGCAGGAGCTAAAACAGGCAGGACAATGGTGGCTGGTTTCTGACAACATGATAACCCCCACTCAGGAGTTGCGTGTGGGTTGCTGTTGAACTGCAGGCTGTTGTTGTAACGTGGGTTTTTGCGTGTTCAAACCCAGCTGTGCTAACAACCCATGAAGAGAAGCCATGGCTTCTTGTTGGCTTCCACACCATGGTTTGTTATCTCAGCTGGGTTCAGATAACGCTATCCTAGGTTCAGGCAACATGTTGAGAGTAAGTGTAGTGTAATAGTTAAGGGCATGGGACTGGAACTCGGGAGATCTGGGGTCTAGTCCTTACTCGGCCATGGAGCCAACTGGGTGACTGGGCCTGCTGCAACTCTCAGCCCAGCCTACATCACAGGGCTGTTGTGGGGATGAGATTGAGAGCAGCAGGAGGAGAATCCTGTAATTCACTTTGAGTTCTTAAAAAAGGCAGGATAGAACTCTAATAAATTAAAAACAATGCTGCCCACAGTTCAGCATCATATGGGCCACCATATTGTCTGAACCCAAGTTAGTCACATATTGAGCCTGAGGAAAGGTCTGGAGTGCCACCTGGCACCTAGAGGCTGTTATAGCTGGTGCCAGGAAGGAAACACATGTGAACAGGAAATGTGTTTTGCTTAATACAAGACATGCAGTCAAACACAACCTGATTATTGCTGGGTCTGGGCATGCTTGTTGCTCTTCCTCTCATCTCACTTCAGTGCCTGTAGAAAGGGAATAATGTATTATCTGCACACAGTTATTACAACGTCAACATTTTGAGAAAAACGTCTCCCTTATGACCTGGCTTTTACCTTGCTGCCTGAACAGCAAGACTCATAGCTTAGTATTGTCTCCATGATAAAGCACACACCCTTTACCTGCCACCTAAATCCTCTAGGATTTATGCTCACTTAAAGGCAGCTGGAAAACAAATTTCCTTTGGCCTCGCTTGTCTTCTGGGATCCTTTTTACCATCATCCACTATCAGCAGTAGAAATGGCTTTGATCATCTTCAGGAGGTCCGAGCCAGTGCTGGCACTGACCCAGGACTGAGACTGCACCAGTGCCTGGTGCCAGAAGCCACACCAGAAATGCAGCAGCCCACCGTCTAGAGAGAACGTGAATGTCAGGAGGCTTGCCTGGACTGGGTTGATTAAGAGCGGTCGATATTCCAGTCCCAGCTATCTGGGGTTTCTTCATCCTTCAATCGCTTCTCCACTAAGTCGTTGAACTCTAGCTCCCACCGTGCTTCAGACCATAACCACCATCTGGGTCTTCGCAGCCCCTTTGCTTCCCTCCTGCACCCTTCACGTTCCACCCCAAACCCTTGCATGCTGCCTCTCTCTCATCAAGGCGGCTAACAGTAAAAGAGCCTGACTCAGTCACAAAGTCAGAACTCGTCAAGGCGGCTAACAGTAAAAGAGCCTGACTCAGTCACAAAGTCAGAAATATCACCCAAGCAGAAGACGCACAGCGTGAAACCACGCTGCAGATGGAAACAAGGCACCTCAGATTAAAGCAGCCCCGAGCCACAGACAACCAAGCAGAGGGGCAGACTTGAACTACATATCAGAAGCATGGCTCCCCCGGTAAAGTTTGGCAGGTACTTAAAAGAAAAATAAAGTGCCAGGTGAATCTCAGGGTCCAACCACAGAAATGTCCCCTGTGCGCTAGTTTGGAACAGTTCAGTGGCTGAGCATGGACCCCCAGTTGCGGCACTCCAAGGTTCCTCCGATGATGGTTCCCTGATCTGGGAGCAAGGAACACAGAGGTTGTCCCAGCATTGGTGATCACGCGAAGCACAGGAGGAGGTGGGCCTTGTGACACTTCTGGACCGTTTTGTGGTGGGTCTTTAATGTCTGCCTCCCAGACTAAGGTGTGGCCTGTCCTGCATTTGCCTTCATTTGTAGCATGAAGAGGTAGACATCCTGGGCCTGGATGGTCATATCTACAAAGGACGGATGGACACGCAGCTCCCATCCATCACCGGAAAGGACAGTGAGTTTCCTGTTCCACTTGCAGATGCTTTGGGTGGACCGTGCAGCTGGGAGAAGGGGGCTGGGAAAGGAGGGTTAACTATTTAAGGATATAATTCTAGGCGTGCTTAGGTATAAACAGCCTTACAGTTCTCAGCACGCCCCAGTTGGCCATGCACGACATTCTGCCTTAAGTGTTGAAGCGCAATAGTGTGAAACTGGCTGGACACACTTGACCGTGAGGTAATGAGAAGCATTTCCCTCTGGCAAGAGGATGTAGCGATCACGCGGCATTTTTACTGCTTGTTGATAACCTCGAGAGCTGGGAGGAGCATTTCAAATGGAAATAGATGTGCAGAATACATCTGCCATCGATCTGTAAATTTCTGGATGGATCTGGGACAGTTTGCTTTTACTGCAGAGACTGAGTACCCAAAGAGTTGCCATAGCCTGCTGAGTAATCATGTCAGACGGACCCGATGCACCAAAAAGCGGCTCTTCTTTGGATTCTTTGCAAGGCTGTGGGGGAACAGCAAAAGCACTGGTGGCTCCACCCTTTGTTCTTGCCTCCCCAGGTCCTTCAAGACCGAGAAACAAGCTCATCCGGTCCTCCTCACAAAGGCACCAGCCCATGCTCAGCGACTTGCCCAATCTCCCAGCTCGTCCCCACACAGCTAAAGTGTCTTTGCGCAGCCTGTCAGGTATGCCCAGCATTCCACTTTAGCTGGGAAGAGAACGATGGGGGACGAAGCACATCCAAATCAGGTGGTGTTTCCTTGGCTCACTCTGTAGCACTCTGTGAGGATTTCTGAGCAGGGCAAGGCAGTGACTCTCCATGAATGGAGCTCCTGATGGGCGAGCTACTACCTTGGTATCGGTTTGAAGGAACAATCCTACCTGTGTATGCTTAAATAGGGAAAAAAGTCTTTCAGAAATCCAAACATGCATAGGATCACACCCTTGCCCCCTCATAACATTGTAATAGCTTCTCCTAAAGATCCCGGGAATCATAGTTAAAAGTGATGATTGCTGAGAATACTGTTAGAGAGACCCGGTCCACCATTCTGTTCACAGAACTACATTTCCCAGGAATCCTGGATGAGGGGGCACAGCTGCTAAATGAGCTTGTGATAGAATAGACTACAGGATGGTTCCATTGCACCGGTTTACAGATGTTGTGCTATGGGGAAGTAGTACTGGGTCAAAACCCTGCTCAGCCCTTCCCCTGGCCGCTGCAATTTCACAGGTTGAAGCCCACACATTTTTTACAGCACCCTCTTTAGAAAGGTGGTGTTCAGAGAAGCACGCTTCAGGGGCTCAGAATATACGGAGTTCTGGATCTAGTAAAAATCCGTCTCCCTGTGAAATTCCATTTGGTCCTGCCTTTTGCTCAGGGGACCATATTTCCAGAACTGCTATTCGCACTGTTTCAGGAGCTTGCATTGAAGTGCTGGTTTTCCTCATCTCCTGGGCAGTGGCGCTGGTTAACACAACTGGTTTACTGGCACTCCATTCCATCTTGCATGTTTCTTCCAGAAAACTGCAACTTCCTGTCACAACACTGTGTCTTTGTCCCTCAGCAACCACCCTTTTTCATGATCAGTGTAGACACTAAATACCAATGGCGGTGAAATGCAAGAGTGAGTGTTGTTAGGATTTTAGATAAGAGCTAGAGAGCATCTACTTATTGTGTAGATGTGGGATCATCCTGGCATAGTCTATCATTCTCTCTGCTACCTGACAAAAAGCTGCATGAGACAGGGAGGAGGAGCTGGGAGCGAGAGGCCGTTCTTACATATTCTGTAAGCTCTCGGGGATGGGATGCAGTCTGTGCTTGAGAAGGCTTTGCAAACTGTCCCATGGTAAGGCTTATTTTTAAATTATTATCATTACTACTACTACTTGTATCATTATCATTATTGTACAAAGGCTGCTAGTGCAGGTACCGTCCCTGGCCGACTGATTCTAGGTTTGCTTGCAAGCTCTGTCCCTGCCGATCCATCTGTCCATTATAGAGCACTCCCTTCTGGTGGTGCCGAAGCGCTGAATGATCGCATCTGAGATGTAATTGCAAACATGGTCAGTTCTCCCAATTGGACTGCATGCCCGGCTGATTGAAGAGCACTGCAGGAAATCATGGACTCACTTCGTGTGGCCCAAGAGCACCGTTTACCTAGCAGGGTCTGGTCTAGGAAATGTACAGAACCTGCCAAGAAACTTGCCCTGCCCCGCACAGAGTATGGGGGGCAGAGATTGTAAACAAGAGGAGGAAAGAGAAAGAGAGACATCCATTAGTGGATGGAAGAGCTGAAATCACCCTAGTAAAATTAACTTTCTGCACAAGGCTAGCGCGACCCGCAAGTAGATCTGTCGGACTCCCCTCTCAGTTGGCAAGAGAGGACTGGTGTTCAAAAGTCAATTACATCCAGGCCTGAGGGTGACTTTACACATTACAAAATTAGCAAGGCACGGACTGTACCTGTGATGTATTCTGTAATGCATAACAGTCAAATGCCTCTTTTCTTTCCTAATTTCTGGGGGGTTAACAATGTTAGTTTATTGCAGCAAAATCCACAAAGTTTTTGCGGCACTTTAAAAGCTGCCAAGTTGACTCTGACATCAGCTTTCATGGACAGTGTCCAGAGACTGGCAGACATGCGTGCACATGCTGACTAGGAGGAAGAGAGAAACTGTTGTGAGGAGGAATTGAAATGCAGAACTGTAGCCAGTGATAATGACCTTAATGATGGCCACTCCCAAAACATCTTTATGAGATAACATAGACAACATTGCAAGGAACCATTTAACATACTAGGATTGCATAAAAAACCCAAAACAAACCTCCTTGTCCTTATCACAACCACAGGAAGTAGATGAATTGTGCTTCAGCAATTTTGCAGATACCTTTGATATTTTTGAACAAAGAATACTTTGTGCATCTGAGGGTAGCCGCTTTCCAGAAAAGCTTGTCTCAGAATAGTCAGTCATTTAGGTGTTACTGGATTATTTTTGTTCCTTTTTTAATTGAATGTTGGGAAAACTGTCAAAGGAGACTTTGACTAAGCAGCCTACCCAACCCAGTGCCCTCCAGCTAGTTTGGATTTCTCCTCCCATCAGTCCCAAAAAGCAATACCAATATTTATGGATGCTGGCAGCTGTAGTCCAAAACTTCTGGAGGGCCCGGGAAAATTTCCCACATTTGCTTCTCAGATGTTACAGTATCAAGGCAGTGTGCACTGGATGTGGCAGCCACTTTCAGAACGTGGGCACTTGGCCCGAGTGCAGCAAGTCTTCCTGGAATTCTGTGTGAGGCAGGAAAGGGAGCACCAGTCTTGCGGGGCGGGGGGGGGGGGGCTTGTTTTGACATGGCTGTGCTCAGGCTCAGGCCAGGAAGGGAAACTATAGCTTCCCCGCCAGAAGTCTGGTTGTCCCTCAGCATAGACTGCGAGGCCCAATTCAGGCATGCTTTTCATCAACAAGGGTAGCAAGGCCTGCATGCCGTTTCAGGTTTTGGGGTGGGTAGGAAGCAGCAGCAGGTGACACGACATTGGCATGTGTTCAGGAGCCATTTCCAAGTGCCACCGGCAGGCCTTTTGGCTGGCTGCCTTGTAACACTCCATACGCAGGTAAAGCTGGAGCATCCCCAACAATCAGGGCTTAATTTGACCCTGGGCTCAGTCTGGTGCTGGAGCTCAGCTAAGAGATGATAAGGTCCTCTTAAAGAGGAAAATCTCCCAGCTCCTGCTAGCAACTTTTCTACAGTGAGGAACAGCGGAGAATCCACCTCCATCAAGTATCCAGCTCCCCAGGAAAGCACCCGTGAGAAATACAGATCATGAGCACTGGCGGAATTAAAGAGGAATTTTAAAATGTGCTCCATTTGACTGGCGTGCTCCTTCCTGTGACGAGAGGCTGTCTCTCCCCGCCCCAAGCTAAAGCTGGCACGCACCTCAAACAAGTGCAGAGTACTCGTCCTGCAGCAGTGCGTCGTAAAACCCAGCCACACAGAAGCAGAGAGAGCAGGTGTCTGACTGTGGCAGGCCGGGGGAGCAAAGGGCTCACAAGCAGCGGACGAAATGGCCTTCAGCGGAGGCCAGTCCCTGGTTTGTCTAGCTCAGTGTTGCCTACACCTGAAGAGATGCGAAACCACCTCCAGCTTGAGGTTTGAATCCCATTTCAGAGAAGCTCATGGTGGCTGCATTCCAGTGATCAGCTGGGCCAAAGGCAAAAAGCAGCAGCACGAAAAGTGCCAGATTCCTGGAGTTGAAATCCTTACACTCGGTCACTCAGCCTTTGGAGAGGCGTGTCAGTCATTCAGAATGGGGAAACTACCAAATGATGGGGTGGGGAAGGATGTGGAGCATGACCTTCAGCTGGCCAGGTTTGCCTCACCAACCTGAGGTCCGATAGTCCTGCTCAGTGCTGATGGCAGAGGGCTTTCAATGCTGGCAGTACCCAGTGTTACCTGGCGATGCCAAGCGTTCTGTTAACCAATTAAGCCCTGACTACAGGGGCAGAAACATTCCGTATCAAAATGTTCTCATGAAGGAAGAGCTGACGGGGGGGGGGGGGAGAGAGGCATCTGTCCTGGGCAAATGGTTTGTTTGTGCAAAAGATAACTATTTATTAAGCTATTTCTTCCACTCATGACTGCTAGAGCTGGGTTTGACTCTTTCTTGTGTGTTGCAGCTAAGTCCATGACTCAGTTAGGGGTCACTGAAGAGCCTGGGATGCAGGACAGAGAAACTTTGGAGCTGCACATGCCAATTCCCTCGAGACAGCGGTCGGATGAGCAGTCTGCCTAAGCAGAGCAGCCTTGCTTGTGCCTCCATGAGAACGTGATTCTCACCGATGAAAGCCAGACAATAAAGAGTGACCAAACCAGGAAGAGGACTGTGCAGGCCTGCTGCTGCCAGAGGAGCGTGGCCATCTTGTGGTGCTGCCCCTGTGGCAGGGGCTGCCCTGGCTGGTCCAGCAAGTGCTCCTAGGGTGGGATGGGGTGGGAAGGGCCAAGAGGTGTGGGTGCTCATGGCAGGCATGGCTTCCTTCTTCAGAGACCACCATTCCACCAGGCCTGCAGGTTGTAGCTTTTCTTTGTCCAAGAAGTTATTCTTCAATACAAAATCCTGTGTTTAAACCCATTAGAGAGAGCAAGACAGCTGATTTCATGTGTCAACATTCTTGACTTCTCCCTCACTTCCCCCCGTTGCTCCAGCCCCAGACATACACCAGCCATGGAAAGGGAGGCACTGTCCTAGAAAAGAGCAGTCAGGTCAGGGGTCCAGCACTGTGCACCCTTGTTGCCACTGGGGACAACACAGAGCCCAGCGACAATGCTCAGCACAAGCTGACTGGCCCGCAGGATGCTAGGATGTGCATGTTTGAGTTGCTGCAACCTTTAGCAACGGTTACTTCGGGGTTTGGTGGGCACAGCCCTCGCCAGATGTCTCGTGCTAGTCTCATAGTGGATGTGGAATTCACAACTTCCGCTGGATGGAGCAATTCAGATCTGCTTCCAAATGGGCCCGATTTACTATTCAAAATGGGAGGTGGTGATGCCAGGTAGGCTTCCTTTATGCAGCCACAGAGTGGGAGCAAAAGCTGGCCCCATTTCGCACTGAAAAACCAGAGAGGCTGCTGCTGCTACGCGTTTGTCCCTCACTCCAGTCGGATTCAGTTTGCAGCAATGCATGCAGGAGGAGAGGGTGGCAAATATCGGCTTGCTGGTAACTGAACCAACATTGGAAAAGTTCTGGGTTGCTGCTTGGCTGGCTTCTGTCCTCTTAGCCACATGATACAACACTGAGTGAATTAGAAACATTTAAAGCCCAAAATAGCAGAGGAACCCGAGGAAAATATTTGTGGGCTTCACACAGTGGACTTTTATGTTCTTGATTGCAACTCTGTATTTGTCCCCATCAGTCTACTTCAGTTAGGCAAAGCAACCCCGGTTTCACTTTTGTGTGGCCAAAGCATCTAACTCCCCTGTGAATCTTAAATCATTGCTTTAGAATTTCAAAAGCTTTCCAAACCAAACAAGCCTTGGGTGGAAAACGCAACATTTGGTTTCCCAATATGGCTGTGGATCTTTCAGTGCCTGGTTACATCATACAGAATGCAGTCAGGCTAGACAAATATCACAGGCTGTCTCATAGTACAACAGAAGGGCTTTATTGCATTTCCCATGTGGAGATGCTGTCGCACCATCGCTTCAGGTCAATTGTTGCCGGAGGTCAGTATGGACACCTCCCGCAAAGCTGCTGTGGCCCCTCTGCTCCACCTCGATGGCACAGTTGGCACAAGCAGTGCCAACACTGGGCATTTACCGGGGCTCAGATGCCAGAAAAGGAGTGGGTGTGCTCACATGGCTGCCATCTTCGTTTTAGGACGCTGAGCAAGCTTAAGGAGCCTTGAAAGAAAGCCATTCAGCCTCTCTCAGATACCAAACAAGGCAAGGTTTGGTGTGTGGCTTTCTCAGAACGTCCCAGAGGAACAGAAGGAAGCAGGGCTGGCTGTCGTCCCACTGAGCTGTGCTGTGCCTCCTCCACCTCTGTCCATTGCAAATGAGCCTGAAGGGTTGCAGTCTCCCGCCTCCCCTTAGGGAAGGCCGCGTGAGGGCCAGGTGTCTCAGTAAGCCTGCCTAGCCTAAGAATCCTCCCAGCGTCTTGCTTGCTGAGTACCAATATGCCAGCAAAGCATATTCGAGGATATCAGAATCTCCATGATGGGTCACTGTACTATGTGGTTCGTATTCACATGGCTGTCGACCCACACTTTCCACTTAGCAGGGGCTGTTAGCAGGATATCCCATAATAATGTCCTGTAATATGTTCTGCTAAATCTACATCTGGCAGTCGAACATCACAATATTTCTGGGGAGAAAAATAGGGGTTTTGCTTGATTTTTCAGCTTCTTGGTGGAGTTTCGTTCTATGTGTAAAACTAAGACTTTGCCCATGTTGACACATTTTAAAATGCTTTATAAAATAAAGAATAGAATGGGACAAGTAAACAGAGGACAATCCTGAACAGAGAAGCTAGGGGAGGGATTCCACTTAGTGGAAGCTTGAGTCACATTTTCAAGGACCAGGGCTTTTAGCATGTTACCCAGATTTTGGTAGCAATAAAATACTCCTCCGCCCAACCTAAAGTAACTCCTGAAATGCACTAATGCAGAGAGAGTATAATGGCCATTAGCTTAGCTTGACAAACTTAGACAAATTTGCCATTTGTAATCCAGTTGCTAAAGGCGTAAGAGGCCGGCCACATGCATAAGGAATAAGTGGCATTTCTACTAATGGGGATAAAATCATCCGGGGTGGTACAGCGAGTTCTTTCCACTATCATCTCAGAAAAAAAAATGCTTCTGAACAAACACATCAAAATCACTTTTCAGTTGAGAAAGAGCCACCCACAGGGATGGTGAATGAGGGTTCATCAGGTGGCCGAAGCTGCAGAGGAGTCATTTAAAATGCCACAATCTGCTCAAGAAGTAACAAAATAAAGGTGGGTCAGGCAAACATTGCTCAAAAGTTGATCCTGTTCCAAAGCACTCTGTCTTCCACATATCAGTACAGTAAACACGGGAGGAGAACATTATTCAAGGAACATTACCTGCAAGGAGATGGACTTGGCTCTAGCTTAAGACATTCTCCCCTGTCCAGCAGGATTTGTCATTTGCCAAGATCTCTAGTCCAACAGCGCCTGTGTCAGTTCGTTCCTGGGTAGGAAGCTACATTCCTTGCAGAGAGCTGTTCCGTTGACATAGTCTTCAGGCCTCTACTGCAGAGGTCATACGGTTGCATTTGTAATTTAAGAAATCTTTGGCATTTGGTTACCAGCAAGAGATGTACATGCTACCTTTCCTGGACCAAAGAACACTCTGCCCACTTCAGCCTCTGCAGCTATCGCTTAACAGTTATTTGCATTACGTACTCTTAAGATTACGAATAGTAAATATATATGGAAAAAGCAAGTCTCTAAATGTTGTGACACCCAATTTATTTGTTTGGTAAAATTTACTGGAGGAGTTATAGGGCACCACACTTCTCCGTCATACACTCATGAATCACAGGAATGGAATTAATTTTGGGCTGTTAGGATTTCCATAGGCACTTGTTTTTTTTTTTTTTTGGCCATTCAGCCAGGACATGCACTGCATACCATCTTCTCTGAATTCTGCTGAAATGCTTTCCTAATTTCCCTGTTTATATTTCCACAATATTGCAGTCCTGCTTGTTTTTCTCTGCTGAGAGACTCCCTTAAGTACTCCTCATGGTCATGTGCTGCCCTGGCAACCCACAACCAAAAAGCAAAGGCAACCCTGTGTCCTACTCTACACAGAACAGAACGTGAGTCATTGGCCCTTCCCAGTTCCATTCACCCTGTTTCTCAGCAGAACAGGGTGTCCAGGCTCCTGAGAAGAGGAAGCTTGCAGCATGGCGTGACTCAGAAGTGCATCGTGTTCCTGCAGAAACGGAGCAGTGGTGTGGCAAAATATCCACAGCATTTGTGGTCCACCATCATTTGCATCACAGGGGGAACCCTCCCTGCGTAAGCCCATGCACTCCATGCTGCAACCTTCTTTCTCCAGTGCAGCCACTTTTTTTGCAAGGTGGGCACGATCCAAGGCAAGAAGTGAATACCCACATTTTTTCACAGCTGGTGGAAGTGGAGGAGAAAAATAGGGAATAATGAAGCCAAACAATGATATCCCATGCATATGTAATTACTGAATTCAGTGTGGCTCAGACCCAGGAAAGTAGACTGCAGTCAAAATGGAGGAAGGAATGCTGTGACCAAGCAGTGGACCGGAGAGCAAAGGCCTGGGAGCCAGTGGCTTAAAGTTTATGCATAGATTCGCCCCATGAAGCCTGCTGCACAGCGCCACTTTTGGCTTGGAGGCTGGGGCCCTCGCTTCAGTTCACGATACTGCATCTGACCAGCATGACAACAGGCGCCGTGTGTGTTCCACCAACCTTAAGAAGCGCCAGACACAATTGCAAAAGCAAGGATGGATGCTTTAGAATATTGAAATGCACCTAAAAGCCTCAGGATTTATGTATAGAAATGCAATTGTCAAATCTGAAAGCATCTTCTGCCACTCTCATACGCACATTTGATTTATGCCAGTCAAAATGCTCTTCCTATTTATTTGTAAGCTCTGTGATGGAGAAAATCAGTTCAAATTCCAAGAAGGCTTTTTCACCCATGATGTCAAAGATACCTTTTAGTTTCTATAATGCATGATTTCTGAATGGTGTGAACAAGGCTTACCTTTTGACCCTTTCCGTTCAATTTACAGACACAGGAAACACTATCCATAGATCAAATCGCTTGGGAAAGCACTCAGAGCCCAGGTGAATGGTTAGGAGCTTCCAGATGCTTTCCCAAAGAGCATTAGCTTCGGTAACATAAAACATCCCTTCAGTGCACCTTGCCACTTCGGTAAGAAATAATGACTGACGTTTCTCTCTGCTCTGCTCCTGCACTTTGGGCAGGGTAGCTCCTCTCCCATCCTCCCTTGCATCGGGGCAGTCTGTCAGATGCTCAGCTCTAGGAAGCCGCTCCGCACACTCCTTCCTGCCGAAAAGCCCACATATAAGCCACACAAAGCTCTCAGCCCCCTGGCAGGGGCCTTCCCCCTTTCCCCATGGTCCTTTGCAAACACTCCATGGTGCTTAGCAGTGTAACTCCTGCAGGGCAAGCGAGACGTCTAAACCAGAGAACTCCTAATGCAATGCACTGGAAGTTGTTTCTGCACACGTCCACTCCAGAACCAAAGTATCCTAAAGCAGAGATTACAAGGAATAGCTTAAAAGCCCTGACTCAACCTTTGCTAATGCGTCTGTCTCTTTTTCTGTGAAAAAATGCGTGTAAGCAAATGACGTTTGTCAATGTTGAAGGTACAGCGACAGTTTATTAGCCATATATTGCTTCCTTCCTGCCCCTGAGGGTTGGCTCTAA